ATCCAAAAGTATCAAAGTTCAATAATAAGGAATTCAATAAAATAATGTGTAATGATCTGAATGGACACATCACTGAAGAAGATATTAAGATGGCAAATAAGCACTGGAAAAGATGTTCAACATCATTGGTTTTTAGGGTAATGCAAATTAAAAGCACAGGGAGATGCCACTACACCTCAATTAAAATGATGAAAATTAATGATAGTCCACATCACATATTGGCAAGTATGTGGAGGAACTGGAACTTTCAAACATTGTAGGCAGAAATGTAAAGTAGTGTAACGAGTGTAGTAAACAGTTTGGCTGTTTTTTAAAAGTTAAATGTGGATTTGGCAATGAATTATTGGATATGACACCAAAAGCACAGGCAATAAAAGTAAAGCCAGGCACAGTGGCTCATGCCTGTACTTCCAGCACTTTGGGAGGCTGAGGAGGTTGGATCACTTGAGGTCAGGAGTTAGAGACCAGCCTGGCCCCAAATGGCAAAACCCCATCTGTACTTAAAACACAAAAATTAGCTGGATGTGGTGGTGTGTGTGTGTACTCCCAGCTACTCAGGAGTCTAAGGCAGGAGAATCCCTTGAACCTGGGAGGCAGAGGTTGCAGTGAGCCGAGATTATGCCACTGCACTCCAGCCTGGGCAACAGAGAGAGCCTCTGTCTTGAAAAAATAAAAATAAAAGTAAAATTTAAAACTTCTGTGCACCAAAAGACATAATCAGACTGAAATGGCAGCCTATGGTATGGGAGAAAATTCAATTAAACATTTGATAAGTAGTTGATATCCAGAATATATAAATAACTCCTACAATTCAACAACAAAAAATGTAAAAAATTAGCAAAAGACTTAAATAGACATTTCTCCAATGTTATACAAATGGTCAACAAGCATATGAAAAAATGGTAGTTATCATTAATCATTAGAGAAGTACAAATCAAGCCACAATGAGAGGTCTCTCACAACATTATGATAGTTATTATCAAAAACAAAATGACAACAAGAAAATCATAAGCATTGATGAGAATGTGCAGAATCGGTACCTTTGTGCACCATTGGTGAGGATGTAAAATGGCACAGCTGCTACAGAAAACAGTTTGGCAATTTCTCAAAAAATTAAAAACAGGTTGGGTGTGGAGGCTCATGTCTGTAATCCCAGCATTTTGGGAGGCTAAGGCAGCTGAACTGATAAACAAATTTAGTAAAGAAACCAGTCACACAGAAACAAAGGCTATAATTCCACTTCTAAGAGATACGTAAACAGTCAAACTCATACAGACAGAAAGTAGAATGGTGATTGCCGGGGGATTGGGGATTGGGGAAATAATTCTAAGGTGGGAGGATTGCTTGAGCTCAGGAGTTTGAGACCAGCATGCGCAACATAGTGAGACCTCATTTCTATTAAAAATTTTTATAAGTGGCCGGGCATGGTGGCTTACATCTGTAATCTCAGCACTTTGGGAGGCTGAAGCAGGCAATTCATGAGGTCAGGAGTTCAAGACCAGCCTGTCCAACATGGTGAAACTCCGTCTCTACTAAAAATACAAAAAATTAGCTGGGTGTCGTGGTGGGTGCCTGTAATCCCAGCTACTCAGGAGGCTGAGGCAGGAAAATCGCTTGAACCTGGGAGGCGGAGATTGCAGTGGGCCAAGATCATGCCACTGCACTCCAGCCCAGGCAACAGTGTGAGACTCCATCTCAAAAAAAAAAAAAAAAGTTAAAAAAGTTAGCTGGGCATAGTGGTACATGCCTGTAGTCCCAGCTACTTGAGAGGCTGAGGCATCAGGATCACTTGAGCCTAGGAGTTCAAGGCTTCGGTGAGCCATGATCATGTCACTGCACTCCAGCCTGGGAGTAGAGTGAGGCCCTGTCAAAAAAGAAAGAAAGAAAAGAAAAAGAAAAAGAATGAGTTCATAATATCATAATAATAAAGAGAACAAAAAAAAGTAAAATGGCAGACATAAATCCAACTATATCTTCTTCCAGATGAAATGTGTGCTAAAGCCCTGTATCAGTAATAAAATTAAATGTGAATGGATTAATCAATCCAATAAAAAAGCAGAGATTGTCAGCCTGGATAAAAAAACAAGATCCAATTATATGCTGTTTACAGGAGACACACTTTCGTTTCAAAGATACAAATTGATTAAAAGTAAAAGGATGGGGCCAGGCGCGGTGGCTCAAGCCTGTAATCCCAGCACTTTGGGAGGCCAAGGCGGGTGGATCACGAGGTCAAGAGATCGAGACCATCCTGGTCAACATGGTGAAACCCCGTCTCTACTAAAAACACAAAAAAATTAGCTGGGCATGGTGGTACGTGCCTGTAATCCCAGCTACTCAGGAGGCTGAGGCAGGAGAATTGCCTGAACCCAGGTGGCGGAGGTTGCGGTGAGCCGAGATCGTGCCATTGCACTCCAGCCTGGGTAACAAGAGCGAAACTCCGTCTCAAAAAAAAAAAAAAAAGTAAAAGGATGGAAAAAGATGTATCTTGCAAATAATAACCATAAGAAAGCTTGAGTGGTTATATGACAAGACAAACTAGACTTTAAAACCAAAGAAAAGATACTATTTCAGATAAAAAAGGGACATTTTATAACAATACTGGGGTCAATTTATCAGAAAGATAGAACAATTACAAATGTGTATTCAGCTACTGAAATACGCCCGAAATACATTAAACACTGAAAGAGATGAAGCAGGGAAATAGACAATTCAACAATAATAGTTGGAGGCTTCAACACCCAACTTTCAATAATAGAATATCAGAAAGAAGATCAACAAGGAAATAGAGGACGTGAGCCCTATTAACCAACCAGGCCCAATACAGCCCTAGAACATACCACTGAAGAATAGCAGAATATACCTTCTTCTCAAGTACACATGGGACATTCTCCAGGAAAAATGATATACTAGGTGAAAAAACAAACCTTAATACATCAGAAGGATTTAAATAATACAAAATATGTTCTCTAACCTAATGTAACTTAACTGCATCCCCTATGCCCTAGAATAGTTATGGGAACAAAAAGTATTCTGCCTCCAACAATGTAAAATGAAAAATGTCTGACATACAGTTACCAGTCGGCATATAAACAAACAGGAAAATACAACCTTTATTGATGAGAAAAATCAGTTATTCAAACCGGACCTCAAACTGATACAAAGAATCAACAAACAAGGATATTAATGCAGTTATTATAGCTATATATTATATAAGCAAAAATCAAGGGGAAAGATTGAACTTGATTACCAGACACAAAAGATATTTAAAAGATTTAAATTCAATTTCTGGAGATAAAAATATCTGACATAAAAATGTACATTGGATGGAAAATTCTACCTGAATGTCATATAATATTCATTCACAGGTTTCACTCCAGTATAGACTTTCTGATGGCCATTGAGGTATGCACTCTGATTGAAAGCTTTGCCACATTCATCACATTGGTAGGATTTCTGTCCCATCAGAACTCCTAATGTATAGTAAGACTGGAGGACATGGGAGGATTCCCCAAATTCCTTATCTTTCTCACATTTATCTTTTGTAGGTTTTAAAAAATCCATGTGTGTTATTCAATAAATTACTTCTAGTCAGCTCCTTTCTTCATTCAAAGGTAATTCTTCTAACTTCACGAAAGTGTCTTCATAGGCATCTCTAGTCTCTGGTTTCCCTATGAATCAACACATAGAATCCTCTTACTAGCTGGGGGCGTGATGGTATTCATCTGTAGTCCCAGCTGCTTGGGAGACTGAGGCAGGAGGATCACTGGAGCCCAGGAGTTCAAGCTGCACTGAGCTATGATTGTGCTACTATGACAGAGCGAGACCCCATTTCTCTTGAAAGAAAGAATCCTCTTGATGTTCCATCAGATAACTTTGATCCTTTAAACACTTTCCGCTTCATAGTTGAGTCTATTCTGTTCTCATCTACTATCAAAAGAAAGCAGAAAACAACTTTACTCAATTTTTTGTCTTGTGCAAACAGAATCATCAAGAGATCTTTAAAAAAAAGTCAGATTATGGGTGTATGATGAGGTGACATACTGTGATCAAGAATGAAATGGTAGTAGCTCAACTTTTTCTTCATGGGCAGAAAAAAAAATGGGGGAGAAGTTTGTCAGAGAGGGTAAAAGAAGATATCAGGGACAAACAGATATTAACCTATCACAACCAAGTTAGAAGGGCAACTGGAGGGGAAGTGAACAGTTTAAAAAGGATGATGTGGTCTTACAGAGGTAAGATCTTTAGTAAAATGATGAACTGTAGGTTCATTTCCAACCATAACACTGTATGATTCCATAGTTCTCTGAAAAGATGTTACGGAGAGAGGGGTAGCAAACATCTCAAGTCAAATATGGGAAAAGGCAGAGTAATTACAGTCATGATCCCTAGACATGAATATGTTGTTTCCTTTTAACTGTCCTGCAGAGTGTGGCCTCAGGCCAAAGCTCTGCCCAAACAGAGACAATATTTCATGACTCTACAAATTGGAATTCCTTTCTAAGGAAATTCTGAATTAGAAGTAGGGCAAAAATAAGGCAATTAAGAGCAGGAGCTGAAGCAGAAATTGTGGACGAAGAGAAGCCACATCATTAGGAGCCACAGCAAGCAGTAAGTATGAGTGGACAGAAGTTGTAATAAGAAGGACTAATGAAGGGGGCAGAAGATTCAGAGTGAAGAAGCTGGATAGTGGTGGGAAGTAGAGAAATAGAAAACATGCTGGGAGCAGCTGGGTTGGATTTACAGTGGAACACTGGCACAAAGATGCATTTACTTTTGTTGATTTGGCTCCTGGACTGCCCTGCATCAAGGCACAGCCTCCAGGAGGCCCAGTTTTCCACCATCTGATCTAGCCTGTGGAGTCTGCATCTCTTTCCATAGTGGTGAGAACTTTGAACTCACAGTTCTCTTATGGGTAGGATCCTCCGTTTTCCTCATTAGTGTATGACTCAGGAAGACATGATGTGCTAAAGAGCTTGTTGATTGTGTATATCTTTTTAAAGGCCTATCTACTTAGAAAGAAGGTAAAGGATTGGCTTCTGGAGCCTCCTCTGGACAAAGGTAATTATTCTTCAATCAGACTAATACATGGGTGTTCACAAAATTGGGTATTGTCAAAGCTCCCAACCTTGTTTGAATTTAAAAGGTTGATTGTAAGTTTAGGTTTTTCCAACAGCAGACCCTAAGACATGGATGTAGGTGGAGTAGATTAGATGATCTCAAGGAGCAGGAGGGAGTAAGCAGGGAGGGTGAGACAGGGAAAGTCTAAAGCCAACAAAGAATGAGTTATTGAGCTGGTTCCACTGTGGGCAACTGAGGCTCATTTTTGCTAGTGGCCCTCTAAGGGCCCATGTAGAACATAGCTGAGAATTTTCTTGTCAAAGGACAGGACGTTGGGGCATTTATGTACCAATTCTTGTTTATCATTCTTTCAAGTTTGCCTGAGGGGATGTTATTCTCATCCACTTCTTCCAGTTTGTGCCTCAGACCTAGCTGAACAGGCTTCTACACTTGTAGAGGAAGCCTTCAACAAAATAGCCTAAGATGTTATGGTATGTGCTTGAGATGGGACTCTGTCAGGATGGCTATATCCATTCTCCCACAGCTGCACGAAAATCAGAGATGGGCAGAGGTGACTGTGGTAGAGAATACAAAGAACATCTGTTTTAGGTAATAAGCAGATACTTCTTTCACTATGCTTTTAACATCAAAGAATTTTAGTGTTTTAAAATATGCCCTTTACCTATGTAGTAACTACTTCTATTGTTTTTCCAAAACCCAAAGTAAAGTATCTGCAGAATATCTTGGACTGGGAAGGGTCTCAGTTATATTTGTTCTGCTCCCCAGATACCTCTAAGGCTAGGAGATACTAGACTGACTTTAGAATTACCACTTTTGGCCTTCTCTAGAGCAGAGTGTATTGAAGAGTCATAACCTTCCATATAAAAGTCCAGGTGGTTATAAACCAAGATAGCAGGACTGCCTCCCTCTCCCAACGATTATCAAAGCCTTGGTTGGATTCCCAGTGAACACAGCATATCAATGCTCGTTTGCATTCAAATTAGCATGAATTGTCCAAGGCCTGGCCATAGCTAAAGTATTTAGGCGACCGAAGACACTCTTCATGCTGGCTGTCCTGACTTTTCTCCCCCTTCTCTCTACCTGTGTCTTGCCTCAGTCTCCTGAATGATTTTCTTGCTTCTGGGTGTACAAAAGCCTAAATATAGTGGTGGAAACAGCACTCGCCTTGGATTTGAAAGCCTCACTGGTTATTAGGAAGGTATTTTAACAAATTACTTAAACTTATTCATCCTTAGTTTCAGTATCATCAAAACTGTGGTAATATTACCCATCTCAAAGGGTTCACGTAAGGAGTAAATGAAATTAACTGTGTGAAAGAGGCTGACACATAACAAGTAATTTTTTTCTAATATTCTAGCTTTGCCTCACTGTTCTGATTTGAACTCTGGCTTAATTCAACTGAAATATTTTGTGATTGCCAGTTATATAATGCTGAAAATTGAGTGTGTATGTGGTGTACGCGTGTGTTTGTGTGTATGTGTTGGGGGTGGGATGCAGAAAGTGCAGCTGGGTAGATTTTGGCACTAGTAAAGACCTCTATCAGGGGTCAATGATCTTTTGATTAATTGTAGCATCACCAGCCTAGTAATAGAGGGCTGGCCTAGAAACCAATTCGGAACAACCTGAGATTTTCATTTTCAGCTAGCCCTTGGGAAAGGCTACAGAAAGACCAAAGCAGATCCCTCAGTATCCCACTTCCTCTCCTTTCTTACTAGGGCCATAACAGCCCCTTCAACCTTTCAGATTCTAAAGCTCCCATCAAAGCCACAGGCACCCCAAGCTCAGGTCCTCTGATTTTGTGATGCCTCTATTCCTACCAAAGATTATGTGCCTTTTCCCACCTCTCCAGGTCGGCCTCCGATGAGGGTAAAAGGACAAGCAATGGGATTAATACCTTCTTCCAAATAGCAAAGAATATGGCTTTTCTGTCTTCCCTCAAGCTTTCCAATCTGGACTGGATTTACCCCTCTCTGCTCCCAGTATGGTTGGCCTTTCACAGGTGGCCTGTCCCCTTCTCTAACTTTCCCTTCACTGTGACTCCCTCATTCCTACATAACCCCTCTCTGAGGATGTAAACATAAGGGGGTGAGGTTGTCCAAGACAGATATTCAGATCTGAAATTAATCCTTCTAAGTGACCCTGGCCCAATCTAACCACCATGGATGCCCTTCAGTGCCTAGAAAAACTTTTTAAAATAACACCCTGAACTGTATTTGGAAGAATCCATATATGATAGTTAATTTTGCATGTTAATTTGACTGGGCCATTGTGTGCCCAGATATTTGGTTAAACATTATTCTGAGTGTGTCTGTGGAGGTTTTTCTGAATGAGATTAATATCTGAATCTGTAGACTTATTGCCCTCCTTAGCATGACTGAGCCTCATCCAGGCCATTGGAAGCCTGAGTAGAAGGAAAAGACTGAGAAAGGGAGAATTTACTCTCTGCCGGTCTTCTGGCTGGGGCATTGGTCTTCTCCCACCTTTGGTGATATGATTTTGATCTCTGTCCCCACCCAAATCTCATGTCAAATTATAATTCCCAATGTTGGAGGTGGGACCTGATGGGAGGTGATTGGATCATAGGGGTAGATTTACCCCTGGGTTCTGTGTTGAGATAGCGAGTGAGACCTGGTTGTTTAGAAGTGTGTAGTACCTCCCCCTTGCCCACCCTTGGTCCTTCTCCTGCCACGACAGATGTCTGCTCCCACTTTGCCTTCCCCCATGAGCTCCCTGAGGCCTCCCCAGAAGCACAAGCTGCCATGCTTCCTGTACAGCCTGCAGAACTGTGAGCCAATTAAACCTCTTTTCTTTATAAAGTACTCAATCTCAGGCATTTCTTTATAGCAGTGTGAGAACAGACTTACACTTGGATGATATGGTTTAGATCATATTGTATCAGACTAGGAATCTGAGAAGGATTTGGATTCAGTCTAGGACTCAGACTGAAAGTTACACCAGCAGCTTTTCTGCTTCTCAGGCCTCTTATTCTTGGATTACAATTATATCTTCAGCTCTCCTGGGTCTCCAGATTGCATGTCTCGAGATTTCTTAGCCATATATATTATATACATATAATCCTTGGTCATAGGTCAATCACATTCCAATTTGCATTTAAAACAACTCTGGCAAAGTGGGGTTTTAAGAAAGATGAGAAATACAAATTTTCCATTGAGACTGGGATTTCCATTTTAGTTGATCAACATTCTGAGATCTTAGCCCATCTTGAAATGTCAGTCCTCTGCTTCCAGCCTCTTCTCATATGCCTATCTCAAATCCATTTGTTTCTTGTTTGCTTAGTTTTCTTCACCTGTACATTTGGGAATTCTAAATACCAGGAATGTGTGTGTATGTAAAACAGAGGCTATGTGTTGTATGTCCCAGATCTCTGGCCCACTTTAAACAGGTTTTGTATAATTCCACCTTGGTGAAAGATAGGGTGTTCCTTTCCTATCACCATCACTCCATAAGGTTACCAAGTCTTTCATCTTGGGGCAGTGGTGAGCGTGCTTCAAGTTCTCTGACTGTCAGATGGGCAGAATCTCAGGGCACAAAGGGAATGCAAAACTGAGGGTCTGGGGTGGCCATTGGCAATTGGTGGTCCTTACCAGCTGACAACTCTTTGGTTACATGCTTCCAGGGCACTCCTTAGTAGTAGTGTGAATGATTACAGGCTCTGGTCAGTGGTCCATAGTCTAGTTAGTCATTTTGGCTCCTCCCATTCCTTTCTTCTTTCCCAGCAGAAACACTTGCAAGGCAACAATATTTTTCATCTTACTGAAGGCTTCTAATGGCCTAACTCACTATAATCTTTGTCCCTTTTGTTTCCAGTCACATAGTGTGTAACTTCTGTCTACCCAGGTAGGGCAGGAGAGGAGAAGGGAGCCTTGGTTTACAAGTAAAATTATAATTTAGTTTGGGAGGAACAGCAATCACATTGATAAATATTTCAAAATCTACTCATTCATGTTTTGAGACCCAGAAAGTACTCTTTCCTTGTTCTCTTCCTACTTGATTGGCTGCTGCTTCTCAGTCTCCTTTGTTGGGTCCTCCTTATCCTTTTTTTGTCTGTCATCCAAAGGACCACCAGGATGACTAGCTAGTAGAAAAGAAAGTTTCATTCACAGTATCAGTTTACAACTTGGAGAGATAGTCCCTGGCTTGAACTGAAAGTAATGCTCTCTCTGAAGAACAAAGAGAAAGTTAGAGGTTTTACAAAATGGAGGAATGTTACGGATTCCTCTTTGAGAAAGTTCATTGGCACTAGTAAGGGTGTGGGGAGCTGGCAAGCTCTAACTGGTGAGCAACTGCAGTGGGCAAAATTAGTCCTAGAGTTGCAGCAAGTTATCTCAGAAACTATACATAAAACTGGTTTGGGTTACAATAAGCAGTTTCAGCAGTCAAGCTTGCAGAGAATAACATTCCTGGAGCAATGTTTTGTATCCTGAGTGCTTCCACCAGCTAATTTCTCGACTTTGTTTTAGTTAGGTACGACAAGAATGACCCAATTCTTATGATCAGCTTTCACACTTCTTAGCATTTATCACCACCTGACACATATTTATATTTGTTTTCTGTTTACCCCACTAGAACTGTAAACTCCATGAGAACAGGAACTTTACCTCTTTATTTATGTCCCTAGTGCCCAAAACAGTATCTGTGTTGAGTACTCAGATGGCAAGTACTCAGTAGTTGAATGAATGAATGAATGAATGAATGAATCAAGGCTGAAGTTTAAGTATGTTGTTTAATGAACACCAGGAGAGAACATGTAGAAATAAACAGAATAAGCCTGGTGCAGTGGCTTATGCCTGTAATTCCAGCACTTTGGAAGGCTGAGGTGGGTGGATCATCTGAGGTAAGGAGTTCAAGACCAGCCTGGCTAACATGGTGAAAAGCTGTCTCTACTAAAAATACAAATAAATAAATAAATAAATTACCCAGGCATGGTGGCATGTGCCTGTAATCCCAACCACTCTGAAGGCGGAGGTGGAGATTACAGTGAGCCAAGATTGCCCCACTGCACCCCCACCTGGGCAAGAAGAGGGAAAACTCTGTCTCAAAAAAAAAGACATAAATAGAATAACATAAACTTTGCTCATTCAATAAACATTCATCTACAACCTATATGGCTTCAGCTTTGTACTAGGTGCTAAATACATGGGATCCATGCAGACATGGCCCTTCCCCTTTTGGAGCCTTATTCCAGCCATAGTCCCATATAGGGGTGTCAATTCCAGAAGTCCACACCTAAGAGACAGAAGACCAAAGAGAGGATCAGAATTCCAGTTTCCTTTATATACTTTACCCAGCGTGATGGACAGCTGGAATAACCTACTCTTTCAGGATAGAGATGTCCCCACCATTTGCACATGACTTCAACTTGATTACTATTTAATATCAGAGCTCCAGTATGTGATTATGTGGGCAAGAGATACACCACAGTAAGCGAATTCACAAGAGGATGATTTAAAATCCATGTTATTTATAGTGGGAACTGCATAGGTTCACGAAGAGACCAGAAAAGTCATCTATCAGGTCATTCAGATGAGAGGTTACTCCCTGTCAAACTCAATTGAAATGCAAATTAAAACAGAAATGTCCAACTTTTTTTGGAGGCAACAAGCATCCTGAGACCCTGGGTCCTGTCTCTGCACCGTTCCAGTCCGAAACACAGCGGCCGGTTCTTGTTTGATGTAAGGAATGAGGGCTTATTCCAAAGGCTCAGGAGTTCCGCCTCTCCTCTCGCGCGCTAGGAAAAGAAACGAACCATGGAGATGTGTCTTCCTAGAGATCCCGGATGAGGGGCGGGGAGCAACCGGAAGTCGCAGTGTCCACGGCTCGGCCATTATTCTGTGCCTCGGCTGCCGCAAGGGTCCGTTCCTGTGTCATCTCCTAGCGGCCTGGCGCCGAGGCGGCGGTACCCAAGGCTGGAGCCGCAGCGGGAGCCCCCGGTGAGCGGGGTGGGCTTGGGGGCGGGTGGGCACGCAAGTAAGGCGGCCTGGGTCGTGGGCCTGAGCTTGCTGGGACTGCACAGCCATCGGTGGCCCTTCCCGGGCTCTGACCCCCCGGCACTGTCCGTCCCCAGCTCCGTGTTGGGGGTCGACGTCTTGGCCTCGGCGGGGCAGGCAGCCGGCCCGGGGAAGGTACTGAGGACAGCAGCTCCGAGTCTGTGTGTGTCTGGACTGGTGCTCCAGTCTAACGGACTCCGTTGGCTCTTTGAAGATAGCTGCCTCAGTAGCCTGCTCCCCCAGCTCAGGCCTTTCTGCTCTTCCTCAGTCTTCTCTGAGGCTGATGCACAGAAACATTATGAGGCTTCCCTATACCGGTGGTGCCCAGACTCCTGAGGACGGATTTTTTTTTTTTTTTTTTTTTTTAAGGAATGGAACAGTTGTCATCTTTTAGTTTTGTGATATGATGGTATTTAAAAATCAAACTTGAAACCACCCATACCACCCTTACTTCAGGAGTACATTTTAACACAAAGTACTAAGACCGTAAACTCAGAATAAATGTTGCCCACGTCATTGGCAACCTGTCAGTGACGATTGTTACTGGTTTTCTCTTTTTGCAGCTTGCCAGATTAAAGCTTTATCGTGGACTGGTGTTTGGAAACCGTTGTTTTAGAACAGTTGTTTGGGTTTCATAAGTTTCTTCGTAGATGGAATTGTTTTGGACTTCTGGAATTAGAATCCCTGAAATCAGAATTTGTTCCCACATCTCAACTAGCTAAGTGCCCTTGGATTAGTTCCTCTGATCCTTTTGTTCTTTTTAACTTCTGCCTTGAAAACCTTTTGTGAGAAGCAAATAAAATGCATATTTAATAACTTGTTATTTTTATGTTATTTTTATCTGCAAAATAAGTGTAAATAGAGTTCTGATAATTTGCTGTAGAAAACTGTTCAAAATTCTTTTTGAAAATTTCTTTCCATCACCCCCAGATCAGTTATCAAGGACTGCCAAGTTTTTCTCAATTGCCTTATCCCTGCTAGGGGATAAGTAAGTTCCTGCTTCGTTTAGAACTTAGTCATGTGTTGAGACTATTACAAAAATCTAACTGGCCTTTCTTGTTATCCAGTCCTTCCACCCCCACCATTCCCCACTAATAGGGTCCTGACACCAATTAAGATTCTCTTCATGCTCATAGTGGAAAAGATCTTTCTAATTATGGTACAATACCCAGAAGTTATAAAAGATTGCATGGCAAAAAACACTTTAAGCAAAGTCACATAGCACATAATATGGTCACAAAGACACTTGACAAACTGGGAAAAATTTGCACCTGCCATTGTAAACAAAAGACTAATTTTCCTATGCGATAAAAGTGTGTACAAATTAACAAGACCCAACACCTCAATAGAAACACGAGCAAAATATATGAATAGTTACTTGAAAAAATATACAAATGACTCTCAATATAGTAATTCACTCAAAATGCAAGTTAAAATTTGGCAAAGAACACAAACTTTAACAACTATATTGGTGAGAGTGAGGAAAGGCACTCTCATACAGCTGTTTCTGGTGGGGATATAAATGATGAACTGGTACAGTCCTAATGAGTCAGATTGGAAATATCAAAATTATGCATTCATATACCTTTTGACTCAGCAATTCTGTTTCAAAGAACTTTTCTTATATGTGACTACACACATCCAAACTGATGTATGCACAAGATTATTCATGATAATATTGTTGGTAATAAGAAATTATTGAAAACTACCCAAACATCCCATCTGTGCTGGCATGAAGAATTATGATACATCTATGCATCCATAAAAATGGGGAGAGGGGCTGCGTATTGACAGGAAAGACCTTTAAGACATGTTATTAATTGAGAAGAGGAAAATGTAGCACATTCATGGTGTACCACCATCTGTGAAAAGAGGGAAATAGAAAACAATAAATGTATACACACAGATGCATAAATAACTGGAAAGATACATAAGAAGCTAAAAGGAAGAAGGAAACTTTACACAGTATGCATTTTATAATCTTAAATTTTGAGCTAGTGAGTATATTACCTATTTTTAAAAATAAGAAAAAATGTAAAGTAAAACCTCTTTAATGCTTAAATGGAAGTAAAACCGCTTCACTTACAGGACACGATGACCTCCTCAGAATACTGCCTCTCAAGAGCCTTTAGAATTTAACTTATGTTTACCTCTCTGCTCTACTCCTACAATCTTGCCTCCAAAGTTTACTTTCATTCTCTGGTTTTCCTTCACAAAGTTATGTGTCACTCCCTTGCTTTTGAAAATAGTTTCTTTCTTCCTGGAATGGCTTTCCTCATAGTCCAGTGATTCTTTTAATTTTCCCTAAAAGTCCAATCTAAAGGTACCTTTCATGGCCAGGTGCGGTGGCTCATGTCTGTAATCCCAGCACCTTGGGAGGCTGAGGTGGGCAGATCACTTGTGGTCAGGAGTTCAAGACCAGCCTGGGCAGTATGGTGAAACCCCATCTCTACCAAAAATACAAAAATTAGCTGGGCATGGTGGCGCGAGCCTGTAGTCCCAGCTACCTGGGAGGCTGAGACAGGAGAACTTGAAACCCATGTTTCATTGAGCTGAGATCACGCCACTGCACTCCCGCCTGGGTGACAGAGGGAGACTCCATCTCAAAAATAAAAAATTACCCTTCATTAATCCTTTCTGTAGTTTTATGTTCTCCTATTACTTATACTTACACATTACATTGAAATTATGTTTATATTTCTGCCCCCAGTTGTTATAAGCAAGCTCTCTTTAAGGGTCTATGTGTTCAAATAATGAGGATGCTTTCATATGTCACTGATGCTGATATAATTGTTATAACCTTAAAAGCTTAAAAATATTTGTACTCCTCAGCCCAACAATTCTAGGGATTTATCCTGAAGAAATAAGCAGAGATGTAACTAAAAATTTGTTAGCAAGGATAGCCATTGTGACCTTTTTTATAATAGGGAAAGTTAGAATTAATCTGTGATAATTAGTTAGAAATAATCATCTATTATAATCTGTAATTTATAGATTATAATCTAAATGTCCAGCAACACAGGACTATTAAGTATAGATGGACTCATACAGCTCTTAAAAATAATGAAGCATATTTAATATGTTCACAACATAATACGTGAGAAAAGCTATAGAGCAACACACTTGGAGCCAATCTTTAACCCACACTGGTGCATAGAAAAAGGGCTAGAATGACATAGTTCCAAATAATAGCAGTGATTGTTTTCTGGTTTTATAAATTTTTGGTTTTATAATTAGAAACATATATGTTGTTTCTAAAGAATAGATGATTTCTAGAGAGCAGGTCTACGTTCTGTATAATAAAACCTTATTCAGATTTATCCACCTGTGGCACTAGGTGTGAAAAGATAAGAGCAAGAGGCAAATTTATCCAAATATTTTTATTAACAGAATGAAAAATTTTCAGATAATTAAAAGCATGTAGAGCAAAATTACACAGAACTTAATACAGCCTTTCTTTGTTAATCAAGGAGGTGGATAGGATTTTCTCTCATGTGTGTCATGATTAAGACTATGATTACTTGTTAACTCTGTGAAACATAGGAAAGAGTGCTAGTGACAGAGGGTAATAAGTAACATTTAAACCCATATACCAGGCACTGTCCAAAAACTTGAAAGGTATTTAGACACCAGATTCTCATAACAACCCCATGAGTTAGGAACTGTTACTATCCCTATTTTACAGGTTAAAAAACTAAGGCTCAGAAGTGAGGGACTCGTTCCAGGTTATACAGGAGTAGCCAGGATGCTCATTGTTAGAGTGGTAAAGAGTCTATTGTAATAAGATGAAGAGATCCTATAAATAAAGACCAAAGGAAGTTCATGTGTTTGTTTCAGCAGTCTGGGTAACTTGAGTGTCTGTGTCCCAGAGCCTTAAGTGGGAGGTGTCAGAGGAAACACTCTCTGGAGTCTGGAACCTTGCACTCACAAATGTTCTCTTTATTACTGGGAGCTGACTGGGGCCTGGAAAGCTCAGCTCTTTCTCTGGGCTAACTTTAACAATGATTTCTTGAGGTCTTGTAGATGATACTCTCCAAACTCTAAGGAAGAAGTCAAGGATTAAGGAGACCTGGACTGGAGAGGAGCCTTTTTCAAAAAACAACAATGACAAGAGAAAATTGGGCCCACAATGCTTTGAGACAAGAGGGCCTTGTGAAGGGGAAGGATGATACTTGGAAATGGGGAACCAGCTTCCAAGGAAGCAGCTCCTCTGTTTGGGAGACCTCCCACCTGCACTTTAGACAATTACGTTACCATGAGACATCTGGACCCCAGGAGGCTCTGAGCCGGCTCAGAGAACTCTGTCGCCGGTGGCTGAGACCAGAAGCACGTACCAAGGCACAGATCCTGGAGCTGCTGGTGCTGGAGCAGTTTCTGAGCATCCTGCCTGGGGAGATTCGGACCTGGGTGCAGCTCCATCGCCCTGGGAGTGGCGAGGAGGCTGTGGCCCTGGTAGAGGAGCTACAGAAAGACCTTGATGGACCAACAATAAAAGTGAGAAAGGTGGGGAGGGGAGGTGGGTATGGGGATGAAGGGAAGGAAAGAATTGAGGCTGGGCTAGAGGGTGTGATTTTCATTAAAAAGTAATAGCACATAGCAACCCTAACAATAATTAAAGCAGGTTTATGAGTATTCAGACCATAGAATATGTCTGTAGAGAAATGGATTTATGTTGAGGTCTTTGGTTCCAACTTAGAAGCAGCCCAAAAACATTGACTCTGTTTTGTCACCTTGGTAATGCTTGCTAATGCTGAGTTTGGATCAACTACCTGAAGAAGAAATGTTGCTAAGTTTTTCCCTAAACAGAAGCATATGTATTGTCTCTATAATTCTGTTCGGAATGGTGATGTAAGCATAGAGCATAAAAGGCCAGGCACACGGTAGCTCATGCCTGTAATCCCAACACTTTGGGAGGCTGAGGTGGGAGGATCACTTGAGGCCACGAGTTCAAGACCGGCCTGTACAACATGGGGAAACCTCTTCTCTACAAAATATTTAAAAATTAGCCAGGTGTAGTGGCAAGTACCTGTTGTCCCAACTACTTGGAAGGCTGAGGTGGGAGGATCACTTGAGCCCAGGAGGTTGAGGCAGCAGTGAGCTATGATCACACCATTGCACTTTAGCCTGGGTGACAGAGTAAGATCCTGTCTTTAAATAAATAAATAAATAGAATGGCAGTAACATAACAAGAATGAAACTTTCCAGGTAAGACCTCCTCTTGTGTGCCCTCCTGGGGATTCTGCAAGCCAAGGGACTGGGTTAAGAGATTTGCTTCTGATAAGATTTATATCCTTGACCATTAGATTGGGATCTTAATATAGCCTATCATGTGTGAGATTTCTTTTGTACATCTATAGCTCACTAGAAACATTTCTGTATAAGATGTCTGAATCATAACTCAAACTTGGGTGTGGCATTAAGGATGGGCTTGTTCTTTTAATCATAAAGTGAAAAATTTTAGAGCTATATATTTCGTTACAAATTAATACATCCTCATTTGAAATATAAGGAAACCGAGGCAGACGTCTAGCTGGCCGCAAAACCAAGTGTCTTGGTGCCGATTTTAGTGTTAGTTGTATTTGAGCACAAAGGACTAGGTATAGGTAAAGAGGTCAGTACTTAGATGGTAAATAAGTAGAAGAGATGTGACTGAAGTCCGTTCTAAAACTAAGTCTGAAGCTAAAATCCATGCTCTTAATTACTGTTTGTTACTTCCCGTTCCCTCCTTAACCCACACCCAGGTCTGGCTTCTGTTCCTACCATTGTGTTGTACAGTCTCCCCTGGGAGAGGTCACCAGTGCCATGAGTGGGGCTTGAGGGCAGCTCCATTGTTCTCAATGCAAAGTTTTACTGCTGTTTTGATGGCTCCATACTTGAGGTGGGTCTCTCTGATCTCACAGTTCTAGATTGTGGGCAGAAAGAGGTCCACAGTGCTTAGGTGAGTCCATATTCTGGAGGAACAAGAGGAGCCAGCTTATTTTGTTTTACTGATTTCCAGGTTCCAGTCCTTGCCCAGGATCAGAGCCCTCTCCAAAAGGCGGTGAGCACTCCAGGAACACTCCCTCCTGTACTTCCTGGCAGCCACATAGCAGCTGAAATTTGCCTGCATCCTACTGATCCAGTGGCATTCAACTTCCAGGATCCTCAAAATGGTATTTACTCAGTGCTCTGGGCTTTGGACTGTTCCAGGATCCTTTCTGTGGCTCAACCCCTACTTCCAGGGAGTTTCTTCTTCTGCTACCCTGTCTAGGAATCTGTTACAGTGCCAGTTCCTTTCTGCTGTTCCTGCTGTTCCCACCTTCTTTCTTGGACCCCTGTGACCTTGTATCCATTCGTATTGCTACTCTTTGTGTTATTCCAGCTCTGCAAATGGGGGTCACTCAGAATTTGTAGGTCCCACATGCAGCTTTTTCTCCTTCCTCAGATAGTCCTGCCCCTGAAGCTTCTGCCCTTTCTCAGGAAGAGAACCCAAGAAATCAATTAATGGCACTTATGCTCCTAACAGCCCAACCCCAGGTAAGGTTTGCATCCTCTTTCCTTCCCATCTGCACAGCCTGACTGTGGCTAAAGTGCCCTCTCTCATCCTTGTACTTCAATGTCCAGTCAGTTTCCATTTCTAAATCAAGGTCTGTGCTGTTGGAAGATAGAGTTTATATGTGATCTCCTTATGTCTCCCTGATGTCTGTTGTGCACTCCTGGTCTCACAGTATATCCCTTCCCCAGAAGCGAAGGGAACCTTTCAACAGGCAAGCTCCAAGGCATTGGTAATCTCACACACACCTGTCATTTCAGGAGTTGGTGATGTTTGAGGAGGTGTCAGTATGCTTCACTTCAGAGGAATGGGCATGTCTTGGCCCAATCCAGAGGGCTTTGTACTGGGATGTGATGCTGGAGAATTATGGAAATGTGACCTCCCTAGGTAAGGACTCTTCTTTCTATGATGCTTACGGTTACTTCATCAGCCTTTATTTGTTTTCTGATTATAAAAGTAGCATATACTTATTTTAGAAAGTACTGAATATTACAAAGAAGAAACAAAACCTTCCTTAATATTGCTATTTCCAGACAACTATTATCATTTTGATATATTACCTTTCTGGTTTTTTTATATGTTTGAAAAATTTATATGTGTTTGTGTGTGTGTATCCGTATATGGTTTTATAGGCTGCTTTCCTTGTGTGTGTTCTCGAATGTTACAAACTCTTTGCAGTTATTATCTATATTGGCTATATGATTTGTACCATAATTCAGTTAGCCATTTCCTTATTTTGGATAATTGCTATGGTAGTTATCTATCTCTCTGCCTAAGGTCTTCTAAAATATTTAGAAGAACAATTATTGGGCATAAGCGCTTGAATGGCTTTAAGGCTCTGGCTTCATATTGCCAAATTACTTTCCATAGTGATCCCTGTCCTCTCTGTTCTTATCATTGGTGTAAGAACACTCCTTTTTCTCTGCTTTCATTTGTACTGAGGAATCCCACAATTCTGAATTGTTGCTAATATATTTTTAAAGTTATAATATCTATTCTAAAGTAGGTTTCTTGGATAAGTAATAAAAGAATATTTCAAAATTTTTATTCGCCACTTTTGCTTCCAGCAAACATCAGATACCTATAGTGGTACAGCTGTGATAATGATGTGATTTTTTTGCCCTTAAATATCTTATGATGGTTAGATGATTATAGAAATATTAAATGTACAAGGCAGAGTAAAATAATTGGTATAAACCTGGTGTGATGGAAATGCATAAAACAGAGCAATCAATTCCATTCCTGGGGATTAGGAAAGGCCATAAAGGAGGTAACATTTATACTGGAACTTGAAGAAAAGAGTAGAATTCTGTTTGGAGAAATCAGCATTAAGAAATGGATAATCAGCCACAGGAACTGATTTTGACTGAAATACAGATTGTCAGTATCAGTTTAAATGGCTGTGGAGTATTCCGTGTTCCATGCAGTGTATTCATGTTTTACAATGACAGCTTTATGATTCTGAATGTTTCTATTCAAGAACATGACACAACATTCCATTTTTTCTATACTGCCTTTGTATGTGTTAGGCATGTTTTTAAATCGCCTAGATCTTGCATATTTCTGGTAGTATTTATTCTTTGAAATTAGAGTCTTTTCTGATGTTTTCTAATTGACTGTCATTTACATATATGAAAGTACTGTTTTTTTCATATGTTAATTTCATACCCAGCAACTTTACTATTTTATTGTCTTTAGTAATTTATACAGTATATTTTCATATTTCGAGCCTGTATCCTTTAGTATCTCAGCAGTGGCAGTGGTGGGTCAAACAGTCTGTAGATTTTATACTCTGATACATACTACCAAACTGCTTTCTACTGTTGATACCTGAATTAAACTCCCACTGAAAGAGCACACAGGAGAGCCAATTTCCCCTGGATCTGCTCGTGATTTGGTCAGTGTTGTAATTAAATCTAGGTAGATGAAGAATATTATCTTTTGTTTGTTTTTCATGTTTTCGTTATTACTGTGATTGAAATCTCTTCATATGTTTACTGGTCCTTTTACTCCTATTCATATACTTCCTATATAGAGAGAACTGCTGATGCTTTGTGTAAGTCCGATAGCCTTGCTAAGAGCCGGATGAACAACACCCACCCCTCTCTATGCCTGATAACAGTTTATCAGGCACAACACATTACTCAGCATCTGGCCCCTCCATGCGGGCTCCCCTGGCCCACTTCTGCATTCTGCCCCAGGTCTATCTTCAGTACTAGGCTATGCACTCTCAGCACCAAGCTATGCATTTGAACCTCAGCACTAAACTATACAGCTGAACCCACAAAAATTGAAAGAATCCCGCCGAGCCTTACCCAATGGCAGCCCACCCCATGCATCCTAGGCCAGCCCACCTCTAACCCCCATAAAACCCCCTGCCCTGAGAAGTCAAGCGCGACTTCTCTGGCCCCCCTTTTTCTTAGGACCAAAGAACCTCGCTTGGGAGATAAATAAATTGGCATCTGATTGTTCTTATACTTATTGTTTCCTCATTTTAAATTCAGCAGTAACCATTACACTTTGTCAATTGTGACATATGTTTTTCCCATTTGTTTGCCTTTCAATATTATTTATTAATTTTTTTTTAAGCTTTAGAAAATCTTTTATGTTGTCAAACTTAGCAGTATTTTCCTTTATGGTTTAGCAGTCTTTTTTCTCATAAAATTATTTTTTAAACCCACCTGTATTTTCTTAAGATATTTTTATTATTTTATTTTGATATTTAAGCTTTAATCCATCTTGATATTTATCAATTTATCTTGATATATAGAATGACATAGACATCTTGTGGAGGGGTTTTGCTGTTTCTGAGATGGCAGTCTCACTATGTTGCCCAGGCTGGCCTCAAACTCCTGGCCTCAAGCAAACATTCCACCCCAGCCTCCCAAGCAACTGGGACTATAAGCATGCACTACTATCCCAGCTTGTTTTTTAACCCAAGTGGCTTTCAGTAGTTCCAGAGCTATTTACTCAATAATCAATCTTTTCTAACAATTTTAAAATAGACTTTATGGATTAATTGGCTAATTTTATTAAAAACACTCACCATGGACCCATACCCCATGCTGTACACTAAAACAAATTCCAGATAGGTCTAAGAGTTAAACTAAAAAAGCACAACCATAAAATAGTGTAATTGCTTGGTTATTCTAGCTCTTTGAAGAAAGAGAAGCTTGAACCAATTTTAATACATTAAAAAAAAATCTCACTCCAACATTGTTGGGGCTTTGGGCAAGCAGGTGCCTAATGCTTATTCCCATTGACTTAGTAACTCTGATTTGAGGGGGATATATTAAAGAACCTCTGCTTCAGAAAGAAGGAATATAAGTCATATGTCTAAAAATAGTCCCAGGTAACTATCATGGTTAAAAGTTGGGCAAAACAAATTCCCTAAGATCAAGTACTAAGCAGAGAGTGATGTTTTGACCTAATAGTATCTATTGTGACACTACCAAATATTATGATAACTCTGTGTACTCAATTTTTACACATTGATAAACTGTGATAGAAAAGCAGACTCTCAGATAACTTGTACACACTACTTCAGCATGTAAAATATTTGTGTATGTTTATTTAGGAAATTGGACTAGAATTTGAAGGAAATTATTAAGAAATATTGAGTACCTTCCATGTCAGGCCTAGCTCCTGCCTTAAAGTACATTTAAATTGGAGAGATAGACATTTCCACTTAAAATTACAATACAGTTTGGCACATGCTATATAATAAAGTATGCATAAGGTTATGTGAGCCCATAGGGACCTGGGAATGATGGAAGGATTGGGACAGTGGGAGGAGGAGGTAGATTTCCCAGTTCTTCTACCAGGAGGGAAAGATTTGTAACAGTTTTATTGAGGTATATTTAACATACCATGAAATTCACCATTTAAAGTGTACAGTTCAGTGCTTGTTGTATATTCACCGAGTTGTGCAACCATCACCACAATCAATTTTAAAACATTTTCATCACCCCCAAAAGAAACCTTGAACCCTTCAGCAGTCAACCCTCATTTCACATAACTCATTCCTCCAATCCAGCCCTAGCAGGCCCCAATCTACTTTCTACTTCTATAGATTTGTGTATTTGAAACATTTCATATAAATGGAATCATGCACTATGTGGTCATTTGTGACTGGTTTCTTTTAGTTAGCATAGTGTTTTTAAGGCTTATCCATGTTGTATCAGGTATCAGTTTGTTATTCCTTTTTAAGGCCAAATAATATTCCATTGAATAGATATACCTCCATTTATCAGTTAATGAACACTTAGGTACTTCCACTTTTGGTCCACTATGAATAATGCTGCTGTGAACGTTTGCATATAATTTTTGTGTGGATATATGTTTTCATTTCTCTTGGATATACACCTAGGAGTAGAATTGCTGGTTCTTACGATAACTCTGTCTTTAATCATTTGAGGAACTGCCAGACTGTTTTCCAAAGCAACTGCACAATTTTAGACTTCTACCAGCAGTATATAAGGGTTCCAGTTTTTCTACATCATCCCTATCACTTGTTATTATGTCTTTTTTGTTTTAACTGTCCTAATGGGTCTGAAATGATATCTCACTGTGGTTTTGATATGCATTGCCCTGATGGTTAATGATGTTGAGCAACTTTTTATGTTATTACTGACTGTATGTATATCTTTGGAGAAAACTGTCTATTCAGATTCTTTGTCTATATTTTAACTAGGTTATTTGTCATTTTATTACTAAGTTGTAAGAATTCTTTATATAGTCTAGATATAAGTTCTTTAATAGATATATGACTTACAAATATTTTCCTCCATTCTGTGGGGTCTTGCCCTGTTGTCCAGGCTGGAGTGTAGTGGTTTGATCATAGCTTACTGCAGCCTCGAACTCCTGGGCCCAAGCGATCCTCTCACCTAAGCCTCCTGAGTAGCTGGGATTACAGGTGCACACTACCAGCCTGGCTAATTTTAAATTTTTTTGTAGAGACAGAGTCTCACTGTGTTGCCCAAGCTGGTCTTGAACTCCTGGCCTCAAACAATCTTCCTGCTTCAGCCTCCCCGAGTTCTGGCATTACAGGCTTGAGCCACTTGGCCTGGTGACTTTTCCCTTTCTTGATGGTATCCTTTGAAGGGCAAAAGTCATTAATTTTGATGAGTTCCAGTTTTTTTTTCTTCTGTTGCTTCTGCTTTTGGTAACATATCTAAGAAAGTATCACTAATCCAAGGCCAGGAAGATTTATGTCTATGTTTTCTTTTAAGTTTTAGCTCTTACGTTTAGGCTTTTGTCCATTTTGAGTTAATTTTTGTATATAGTATGAGGTAAGGATCCATCTTCATTCTTCTGCATGTGGCACCATTTATCCCAGGCACCATTTGTTTAAAAGACTGTGCTTTCCCCATTGCATCATTTTGGCACCCTTTTAAAAAAGGCAGTTGATCATAAATACAAGGGTTTATTTCTAAAGTCTCAATTCTAGTCCTTTGATCTATATGTCTATCCTATGTCAGTATCATCCTCTCTTACTATTTTGGCTTCATAGTACATTTTGAAATAAAAAGATGTGAGTCCTCCAACTATGTTCTTTTTCAAGATTGTTTTAGCTACTCTAGGTCTCTTGGCTTTCTATCTGAATTTTGCTATCAGCCTGTCAATATCTTTGAAGAAGCCAGTTGAGATTTTTATAGGTATTGCAATGAATCTGTAGATCAATTTGAGTAGTATTGCTATTTACCAATGTTAAGTCTTTTAATCTTTGAACATGAGATTTCTTTCCGTTTTTTTAGGCCCTCAGTTTCTTTCAGTAATATTTTGTAGTTTTCAGAATAGAAGTTACTCTTTCGTTAAATTTATCCTAATCTTATTGTTTCTGAGACTATTATAAATGTTTTCTTAATTTCCTTTGTGGATTATTTAGTGCTAATGAATAGAAATACCACTGATTTTTTTATGAGATGGGGTTTTATATGTTTCTCAGGCTGACCTTGAGCTCCTGGGTTCAAGCAGTCCTTTGCCTCAACCTACTGAGTAGCTGAGCCTACAGGTGTGTGCCACCATGTCAGGCTGATTTTTATATCTTGAGCTTGTATCCTGCAATCTTGCTGTACTTATTTATTAGTTCGAATAGTTTTTTAGTGATTTCCAAGGATTGTTTATACACAAGATTTTGTCATCTGCAAAGAGAGATAATTTTACTTCTTCCTTTCCAATCTAGATGCCTTTTATTTCTTTCTCTTGCCTAATTGCTCTGGCTAGAACCTCCAGTACATGTTGACTAGAAGTGGCAAGAGCAGACAGCCTTTTTTTTGTTCTTGTTCTTAGAGAGAACACATTTAATCTTTCACCATTAAATTTAATTTTTTTGAACAGGGTCTTACTCTGTCACTCAGGGTAGAGTGCAGTAGCATGATCATGGCTCACTACATCCTCAACTTCCTGGGCTGAAGTAATCCTCTTAATCCTCTTACCTCAGCCTCCCACATAGCTAGGACCACAGGCATACACCAATATTCCCAGATAATTATTTGTTTTTATTTTTATTTTATTTTTTCTGTAGAGTCAGTATCTCACCATGTTCCCCAAGCCGGTCCAAACTCCTGGCCTCAAACTCCTGGTCTCAAATCTACCTGCCTTGGCTTGCCAAAGCATGAGCCACTCTGCCTGGCCAGAAATCCCCTTCTATTCCTACTTTGTTGAGTGTTTTTATCACTGTGGGGTGTTTTTAATCTATTGTCTTGATGATGTGATTTTTATTCTTCATTTTGTTGATATGGTTTATTACATTAATTGTTTTCCTAGTGTTATACCAACATTATTTTCCAGTGATAAATCTCACTTGGTCATGGTGTATAATTCTTTTTATGTGTTGCTAGGTTTAGTTAGCATTTTGTTGAGGATTTATATGTTTGTATTTATACGCTCTATTAGTCTATAGTTGTTTGTGATGGTTTTGTCTGGTTTTGCTATCAGGGTAATACTGGCTTCACAGAATTAATTGGGAAATTGGAAGAATTTGTGAAGAACTGGTATTCTTTTAAGGTTTGGTAGAATTCACCAGTGAAGCAACCTGGGCCTGGGCTTTTTGTGTGTGGGAGGGAATTTTTTTTTTTTTTAATTACTGATTCAATTTTTTCCCCTGTTTTAGACCTACTCAGATTTTCCATTTTTTCTTGAGTCAGTTTTAGTAGTTTGTGGCTTTCTAGGAATTTTCCTACTTCATATAAGTTGTCTTTAATTTATTGACACCATATCATTCATAGTATCATCCTTTTTATTTTTTTAAGATTAGTGTTAATGATCAGAGAGTGACAACTTTAGAGCTTAGTTTTAAAGGGTGTAGGTCTGGGCTTGGGTAGTGAGTTGGAAAGAGGAAGAGCAATTCAGGAAGAGGAAAGGACGTGGGCAGTGAAAGGCAAGAAATGACATGTTTGGGCAGCTGCATGTAGTACACTGTGGCTAGAGTCTAGGGGCATAGGAGATACTGACAATAGTTGATACCAGAAAAACAGGCAGTATATGAAGATATCCCTTTGACTCTGCTGGTTATTTCTGCTTTGTCCTGTAGGCAATGAAGAGTTAGGTGTTTTCAGCAGGTGAGTGACATGATCAAAGTTACCAATTGGAAAGGTCATTGACAATAAAGGTACGCATGGGTGGGGCAGATGAAAGGCAAGGAGTGTTAGATGTAGGAAAGCCTGTTTCTTGCAGGCTTCATTCACCAAAGATTATGAAAAGTAACAAGCTCCTTCTATCATTCTGACATTTTTCTACCAAGTCTTAAAAAGCTCATAGGCCCATATATAGTCTGATTCCTAAACTAAAACATCAAATAATTTAACCAGCTAATTAGCTACTGATAACAAGAGTTGCCAACTTCTTAACCATTTTCCATCTCAGTTTAACCACCCATAACAGTTCATTTCCTTAAAGCTTGCTTCATTATATAGAAGCAGCCCTCCTCTCCACTAGCATTCTCCTTGTCTTTGTTTTTTGTTTTGTTTTGTTGAGATGGAGTCTTGCTCTATCACCCAGGCTGGAATGCAGTGGTGTGATCTTGGCTCACTGCAATCTCCACCTCCCAGGTTCAAGTGATTCTCCTGCATCAGCCTCTTGAGTAGCTGGGATTACATGTATGTACCATCACATCCAGCTAATTTTTGTATTTTTAGTAGAGGTAGGGTTTCACCATGTTGGTCAGGCTGGTCTCGAACTCCTAACCTCAAGTGATCCACCTGCCTTGGCCTCCCAGAGTGCTGGGATTACAAGCATGAGCCACCATCCTTGGCCTTTCCTTGTCTTTGAAACCTCACTGTGAATAAGTAAACTGAAGTATCAGCATTGGATAGGCCTAAGACATGTACCCATCCCTGCAGCCAGGTAGTTGGGTAGTGTGATTGGCAGTCCTGCCTGAGTCCTAGAGAGAAGGACAGTTGAGATCAGATATGAGGGCCTGACTAAGAATGTCTGTAGTTCAAGTTAATATTTATTGGATCTTTGCCATCCCACCCTTTCATAAACTTAAAGAAATTTATAATGAGATAAAAAAGCTGCACTCTTGTCTTCTATTTTGATAGAAGAAAAGTATTGTTATATTCAAAGGAGATGATGTTACTGTTATTCACGTAACTTATTAGACAGTTTGGGGGAACTGGCTCATAATTTCTCTCACACTTGGGTAGTATGAAAGTAAACTTCCAAAACATTTTCATTAAAATTATTTCATATTTTTAAAATATTTGAGAACATTGGAGTAGAAAGGAACCTTGGAGGTTAGTTCAGCATCACCATTTTACAGATGTTTTCATACTTCTATTCTGTGTATTTTTCCCTTTTCTTTTGGTATTTCTTCTCTTACCTTTTATGTGTAATTAAGGGAGTTCATAACAGACCTAATTTTTTAAAATGAATTTTAAAATTTCCATTTCTTAACTTTAAATGGAGTAGGAGTTATATATGAATTCTAAGAATTAAGTTGCTTTTCAATGGATTTCTTTTCAGTTGGTTAATTGCTTTCAACCAGTTAAAAAGTACTCATGCCTTTGACTTTGAAAAATTAAAAATTACCTTTCAGAGTCCTTACATATACTTTCCTTCCCTTAAATTTTCCATCTTTCTAACATGAATAAAATAAAAAAGAAAGTTACTTCTAATCCAAATGGTTCTTGCTGTTCTATCCAACTTCCTTAGATATGAATGACCTACATAAGATCCTATGTTTTCTCTCTGGTTCTTCCTTGCTTCTGTTTTCCCAGCATTATTTGTATTTTTCCATCTGCTTCCTGAAGACAAAGCACTTAAAAATGTCTCAGAGTGACTTGTATGTTAATCCATTTACAACATCTTGTCAGTGTAGCATTCTTCCTTGTACTTTCATTTAATGAAAAGTTTCTCCTTTTTGTACGCATATAAAAGTGTGCCTTCCTAGAATGTTTTGAAGTCATTTGAAGATCCTGTTCTCCCAAACACAGGGATGTGGTAACATTTGCATTTTTAATTTCTTTTACCAGAATGGGAGACCATGACCGAGAACGAGGAGGTGACATCAAAGCCAAGTAGTTCTCAAAGAGCAGACTCTCAGAAAGGAACATCAAAAAGACTTCAAGGAAGTGTTCCCCAGGTTCTTCATTTTGAAGAAGAGTGTGAATGGCAAGTTTTGGCAAGTCAGTGGGAAAATGAAACAGAGGAAAGGGCAGATACAATGAAGAAAGGTTCTCTTTGTGAACGAGAGAAGAAGAAAAGGACTCCACCAGAGAAGCAAGGCCGAAAGTGGAAGGAATTTGGAGAAAGCTTGACTTTTGGTTCACCTGTTTCTGAAAGTTTAATAGGTACTGAAGGAAAGAAGTTTTATAAATGTGATATATGTTGTAAACATTTTAATAAAATCTCCCATCTTATAAACCATAGGAGAATCCACACTGGTGAGAAACCTCATAAATGTAAGGAATGTGGAAAAGGCTTTATTCAGCGTTCGAGCCTTCTAATGCATTTACGGAACCATTCAGGGGAGAAACCTTATAAATGTAATGAATGTGGGAAAGCATTTTCTCAAAGTGCTTACCTTCTAAACCATCAGAGGATCCACACTGGAGAGAAACCTTATAAGTGTAAGGAGTGTGGAAAGGGTTTCTATAGGCACTCAGGCCTAATTATACATCTAAGGCGCCATTCAGGGGAGAGACCCTATAAGTGTAATGACTGTGGGAAAGTTTTCTCTCAGAATGCTTACCTCATTGACCATCAGAGGCTCCACAAAGGGGAAGAACCTTATAAGTGTAATAAGTGTCAGAAAGCTTTCATTCTGAAGAAGAGCCTCATTCTGCACCAGAGAATCCATTCTGGGGAAAAACCCTATAAATGTGATGAATGTGGAAAGACGTTTGCTCAGACCACTTACCTTATTGACCATCAGCGACTCCACAGTGCAGAGAACCCTTACAAGTGTAAAGAATGTGGAAAAGTTTTCATTCGAAGTAAAAGCCTCCTATTACATCAGAGAGTCCACACAGAAAAGAAAACCTTTGGTTGTAAAAAGTGTGGGAAGATTTTCAGTTCTAAGTCAAACTTCATTGACCATAAGAGGATGCATAGCAGAGAGAAACCTTATAAATGCACTGAATGTGGGAAAGCCTTCACTCAGAGCACTTACCTTTTTGACCACCAGAGACTCCACAATGGGGAGAAGCCCTATGAATGTAATGAATGTGGGAAAGTTTTTATTCTGAAGAAGAGCCTCATTTTACATCAAAGGTTCCACACTGGAGAGAATCTCTATGAATGTAAAGATTGTGGCAAGGTCTTTGGTTCGAACAGAAACCTCATTGACCATGAGAGACTCCACAATGGGGAGAAGCCATATGAATGTAGAGAGTGTGGGAAAACCTTTATTATGAGCAAAAGTTTTATGGTCCATCAGAAACTCCATACACAAGAGAAAGCCTACAAATGTGAGGATTGTGGGAAGGCTTTCAGTTACAATTCAAGCCTGCTTGTACATCGGAGAATCCACACCGGAGAAAAACCCTTTGAATGTAGTGACTGTGGAAGAGCTTTCAGTTCAAACAGAAACCTCATTGAACACAAGAGAATCCACAGTGGTGAGAAACCCTATGAGTGTGATGAGTGTGGCAAATGCTTCATTCTGAAGAAAAGCCTCATTGGACATCAGAGAATTCACACAAGGGAAAAGTCTTATAAATGCAATGACTGTGGGAAAGTCTTCAGTTACCGCTCAAACCTTATAGCCCATCAGAGGATCCACACTGGCGAAAAGCCCTATGCATGTAATGAATGTGGAAAAGGTTTTACCTACAACAGAAACCTGATTGAACATCAAAGAATTCACAGTGGAGAAAAAACCTACGAATGTCATATATGTAGGAAAGTCCTTACCTCTAGTAGAAATCTTATGGTACATCAAAGAATCCACACTGGAGAGAAACCTTATAAATGTAATGAATGTGGAAAAGACTTTAGTCAGAATAAAAACCTTGTTGTACATCAGAGAATGCACACTGGGGAAAAACCTTATGAGTGTGAGAAATGTAGGAAATCCTTTACTTCTAAGAGGAATTTAGTTGGCCACCAGAGAATTCACACAGGGGAGAAACCCTATGGGTGTAATGATTGTCATAAAGTTTTTAGGCAAAGAAAAAACCTTACTGTACATCAGAAAATCCATACAGATGAAAAACCTTGTGAATGCGATGCATCTGAAAAAGAATTCTCTCAGACTTCCAACTTTCATCTTCACCAGAAAATCCATACCATTGAGGAATTCTCTTGGCTACAAAGCACCAATGAGTCCAAGATTAAGATTCAGAAAATCTAGTGTCGTATATAAAGTGGAATAGAATCCCTGCCTACTTAAGTAACTGTTAGACAAAAGATAATATAGTTCTTCCAAGGAAAAAGTTTATGACTTGCTGTTTAATAGGCAAATGAGTTGCATATAGAAGAAAGTTAGTAATCCCAGCACTTTGGGAAGCTGAAGCAGGTAGATCACCTGAGGTCAGAATTTCAAGACCAGCCTGACCAACATGGTGAAACTTCATCTCTACTAAAAATACAAAAATTAGCTGAGCATGGTGGCATGCTGTAATCCAAGCTACTCAGGAGGCTGAGACAGGAGAATTGCTGGAACCCAGGAGGTGGAGGTTGTGGTGAGCTGAGATCGCGCCATTGCACTCCAGCTTGGGCAACATGAGCGAAACTCCATCTGAATAAAAAAAATCCGAACTTTAAAGTCTACAAAAGCATAATCCAAATCTAATAACGTAGTTGTAAATGACAGCAACAATATCTTTGTATTAAAAAGTAGACATGGGTTGGGTGCAGTGGCTCATGCCTATAGTCCCAGTGCTTTGGGAGGCCAAGGTGGGAGGATCACTTGAGCCCAGGAGTTCAAGACAAGTCTGGGCAACATAGGGAGACCCCATCTCTATTAAAATAAAACAAATTTATTAATATAATAATAAGCAGACATTGTTTTTGAAAATATGTACAGTATGCATTTTAAAGATAGCACCGGCTGGGCGCAGTGGCTCACGCCTATAATCCCAGCACTTTGGGAGGCCGAGGTGGGTGGATCACAAGGTCAAGAGATCGAGACCATCCTGGTCAATGAGGTGAAACCCCGTCTCTACTAAAAATACAAAAATTAGCTGGGCATGGTGGTGCATGCCTGTAGTCCCAGCTACTCAGGAGGCTGAGGCAGGAGAATTGCTTGAACCCAGAAGGCGGAGGTTGCAGTGAGCCAAGATTGTGCCATTGCACTCCAGTCTGGGTAACAACAGCGAAACTCCGTCTCAAAAAAAAGAAAAAGATAGCACCACTGCTATAGAAAACCTGAACAGACAGTATGATCCAGGATGTCAGGTGTGGAGTTGGGTGCACAAGAGTCTGCTGTTGAGGACAACCTAAAAAGAGCACTGGATTTGGAATCAGAACTGAGCTTTGATTCTTGGCTTTCCCATAATGGCCATGTGATGTTACTAAGTCAGCCTCTAAAGCTCAATTTCTCTGTCACTCAAATGTTGACAGGGTACCTACCTCACAGGGTTGTTGTGAGGGTCAAGTGAAAGGATCTTTGTGAAAGTACTTTTTGAAATCATTCAGTTGTCAATAAAGTCGAATAAAAGAGGTATAGTCAAAGCTTAGAACATGGCATCATGTAAGTTTGTATATTAAGTCAATATTAGAATGAGGGGGATTCCATGAACCTAAAAGATACTCATTTTTATAAGAGGAAGTATGGTGACTACCTAATTGGAATTTAGTGCTGTAAGAATAATTTTTCTTAATTTACCTTTAAAAATATCTAAAGGAATTAATAGATTGCATATCTAGTTTGTGTGTATGAAAAAAATGTTATGGCCAGCCATTGACAGTGATGCCAAGGAAAACAATTTATTTTCCAGCTTTTGAACTTGAAACTTAACAGATGTAGAGTGTCAAAATGGAAGGACAGTGCTACCCTGCTTTCCCTGGCATAGGGAAAAAAGTCTTTGACTCAGCAGCTGAGTTGATGGTCCCTGCAACAGTCATTGTCAATTCTAATCAGCATTTCATCATTGCTGTCAAATGATAGCCTGTTATTGATGAAACAAGCTTCTGTGCCAGCACTAAATTTACTGAAACAAACTTTTCACACGGATCCAAGCTCTTCACTGATTAAGCCAATGCAGAATCCACTTTTGGGCAGTCAGTGCCTGTTACCCCCTGTGAACCATTCTGTGTCCTTGGGTACATTTGTAGATTTAATTCAGTCTATATTCTTGAGTTGGTATGTTCTAATTCTCAAAGTTCTGTTTCTACAACTGGACTATAAATAATACCTGAATACCAAGATTGTGTTTTTTAATAATGTCAAAGTGGTGTTTTTATTATAATAAATGTTATTAATTTAACCCCGAAGTTCCTTGGGGGCTGGTTCCTCATTAAAATGAAAGGTAGCGCTGGGTGCGGTGGCTCCCTCTTGTAATCCCAGTGCTTTGGGAGGCTGAGGTGGGCGGATTACCTGAGATCAGGATGTATCACCTGAGGTTTGAGGGTTTGAGACTAGCCTGACCAACATGGAAAAACTCCGTCTCTACCAAAAATACAAAATTAGCTGGGTGTGGTGGCGTGTGGCTATAATCCCACCTACTTGGGAGGCTGAGGCAGGAGAATCACTTGAACCCGGGAGGCAGAGGTTGCAGTGAGCAGAGATGGTGTCATTCACTCCAACCTGGGCAGCAAGAGTGAAACTCCATCTCAAAATAAATAAATAAGAATGAAAGGTAGCCAAGAGTGAAAACTGGAAGAGGCCTAAGACCTGAATGGGTCAGGTTTCACCACTTGCCTTGGAAAAAAAAAAAATCTCTTCAGTTCCTGGAGCCTTGAATTCCTCATCTGTTAAACAGGAGGAAGAATATCTACCTCACAAAGTTTTCATGAGATAATGAATATGAAAATTCTTCATCCTTGTATAATAATTACAACAAACATGTACTTTAACAATGGAGAAAGCTGTCATCTACCTCTTCACCAAGTAACAAAATGTAATGTTGCTTAGATTGAGGCAGTCCACATAATGTGCCACCCCCTGTGATGTAATAAGCTGAAAAATGTTCAACCTGAATTGAATTAAGCTTCTTGGACATCATTGCCAGGTTACAGGAAATACGGGAGGCAGAAGAACAAATAAAAGACACCCTGAGAAACAGACAAATCCAGAACATGGGATATTATATAAGAAAGCTGCCCTGGATTCTTCGAGAGGGGAGTAATAATTGTTCAAGCTGTGTGAGTCTACTGTGAGTTTATACCAGTCTCTGCTTTTGTGTATGTATGAAAAATTCCATATGAAAGGTATAAAATGTGGAGGAGGGGGCTTGTTTTTAAAAGATAATACTAAGACATTAGATACTAAGGGCCAGAAATAGACTCACACAAATGCCCAATTGATGTTTGACAGGGGCAGAAGCAATTAAATGGAGGTATAGCCTTTTCAGCAAATGCTGTTGGAGCAATTGGATATCCGTTGGCAATAAACCTACAACTTCAGAATCTAGGACTGAGCTAAGAAGGCTCAGATGACATCAAAAGCATGCTCCTTAAAAGGGAAAAAACAAATATTAAATTGGACCTCATCAAAATTAAGATAATTTGCTTTGTAAAAGACCTTTTTACAGGAATAAAAGACATTACATGTTGGGAGAAAATACTTGAAAATCATATCCAACAAAGGAGTGGTATGTAAACTACATAAAGAACTTTCAAAATTTAACAGTAATAAGTAAATACAATTAGAAAATAAGCAAAAGACATAAACAGTTCACTGAAGTATAGATAGCAAATAAGCAAATGAAAAGATGTTCACATCATTAGGCATGAGGGAAATGCAAAGTAAAATCATGTGATATCACCACATTCCTACCAAAATAGCTAATTTTTTAATGGTGATAACTGTTGGCAAGGATGCAGAGAAACAGGATCTCATACATCGTTGGGAATGTAAAGTGGTACAGCCAGTGTGGAATATAATTTGGCAGTTTCTTGTAAAACCAAACATGTACATGTCATATGCCTCAGTAATTGCTCTCCTGAGCATTTATCCCAGAGAAATGAAAACTTACGTTCACACAAAAACCTGTATATGAATGTTCATAGCAGCTTTATTTGTAATGGTCAAAACCTGTAGGTAACCCATATATCCTTCCTTAGATGGTTAAAACAAATTGTGGTTTATGTATCATTATGAAATACTTGTCACTCTACAATAAAATTGACTGACTTATTGATATCCATAACAACACAAATTTTGAAGGGAATTAATGCTGAGTGAAAATAATCACAAAAGGCCATATTCTATATGAAAACATTCATATAACATTCTCAAAATGTTAAAACTGTAGAGATGAAAAATGGATTAATGGTTGCCACACGTTAGGGATGGTGGGAGGGAAAATGGGGAGAGGGTTGGATGTAACTCTAAAGAGGTAGCACCAGAAAGGTCTTTGTGGTGATGGAACACTTGTGTATCTTGATTGTAGTGGTGGTTACACAAATCTATAGATGCTAAAAATGGCAAAAGTATACACACACATTTTACCAATGTTGATTTTCTTTTTGGTATTATGTAAGATGTAACCATGAGGGGAAAGTGGGTGAAGGGTACTATCTTTGCAACTTCTGTGAATCTATCATTTCAAAATAAAAAGTAAAAACCAACAATGACAACAAAAACCCAAAACTAAACAGCCATAACCAAATGAAGTGTGTGAAACTGATTTGAAAAAAAAGTTACAAAATATATGTTTTAGGACAGTTGGGAAATTTGAATATGACTGGCTATTAGATGGCATTAGGGAATTATTGTTAATTTTCTTACCTGTGATGCTGGTGGTAGTTTGAAGAATATTCTTAATCTTAAGGGATGCATGTTGAAGTATTTGGAATGAAGTGTTCTGATGTTTACGACTTTTAAAAAAGTGATTTTAAGTATGTATAGAGAGATCAGGCAAACATAGCAAAATGTTCATTGTTGAGTCCAGACGGAAAATACAGGTATTTAGTGTTTTTCAACTTTTTTGTATTCTTAGATATTTTCAAAATAAAACATTTCAGAGGAATTTATCAGGGCTTTCTACAGATTAATGCTGTGTAGCTTCAGGCTCTTGGGTGGAGCGCCTCGCCTGACTGTCCCATCCCTGCTTGGGGATGCGCCCCTCCCTGCGGCTCACTTAGAGCTTCCACCGGAACAATCCGCCTAAGCGCTTCTGCCCATCTCTGGTCCTGGGCGACATTGGACACCCATCGAGAGGAAAGCGCCTCCGACATTCCTAGAGAGGCCGGCCTGGCGACTTGGGGAGCCGGAAGCCCATCCCGAGGCACTTCCTGTCCGGTCATTGTTCTTGTGCCGGTAGGAGTTGAGGTCCCAGTCCGCCAGCCGCCTGCTGCGGAGCCAGTTAACTCAGGTCGAGCCTCTCAGTTTCGCACGGTGAGTGGGGTCGGAGTGGGTGGGCTCGAACGTCGAGGTAGAAGGAGGGGCTCTCCCAGAGCAACGGCCCGAGGAGCGGCCCCTGCGTTCTTCCCTCGGGAACTCCAGCGTTGCTGTCCTGGGGTGGCTGAGTTCCCCACCGCCTCGGAATCTCGGCTGCCGCCCACCTGGGACCTGGCCCGGAAGAGGATGGACACAGACCGGCCAAGAGGCCAGATAGGTCCCAGGGACAGGGGAGCGAGGGGCCTATACGTAGAGAGAACGTATTGCCACGTCTGAAAATAGGGAAAGGACATTGAAAGAGAAGCCTTTGATAGAAGCGCCTGTGCCGTCTGGGACCACAGGCCCGTCTGAATCTGACCAGAAGTCTGATGGCAGTACTCACAGTAGGCAGTCTTGCATATACACAAGATGGAACTAGTCTTAAGGGCCTTCCTACCAGATTGAATTGGGATAGTCATGGAAAGAATAATCTTCCAGAATTAAGGTTTGTCACAGAAATGAAAGTATTGCATTACTCAATAAATTCAGTGTATGCATTAAGTGACCAGTAAGTTAACATGGGGAAAAGAATATGATCCCTTCAATAGCAGCAATGGGGGGTTGAATAAGATTTAACGCCCTTTTCCAATAAAACATTCAAAGGGGGATAGAAAAATTTCAATCTCTTCATAAGCAATCAAAATAGTAAGGTTATTTTGCTCACAGATTTAAAAAAGCCCTGCTGGGTTCAGGTTACTGTTAATTAGTGGGGATGTGAATTGGTATGGTGCTTTTGGAAAGCAATTTGACAGTATATATCAACCAGCAAATCCTTGAACCAGTAATTCTCTGATTATTCTAAAGGAATAATTCAGCAAAAAAAAAAAAAAGTTTTTGAACAAATATAAAATGGAAATGTATACTTTTACTAAATAAATGGTTCATAAATAAGATAGGGTTAAGTAAACAATAAGATAGCCACAATTTAGAATGCTATGCCAGAATGAGGTAGTTCTATATGTATTGTATTGAAAGACTGCTAAGACTATTGTGAAATACAGAAATTGAGTTTAAAAACAATGCAGGTTACTGAACAACGTATAGCTGTGATGATCTAAAGTATGTTTTTGAAAAATAAGCAGTATGTGTGAAGGTATACATCTAAGTATGTAAATGTAGAGAAAATGGGTTAGGACTCCTATCTAGACTGATAACTAATTACTCTGTGTATGTATGTAGTGTGTATTGGTTGTATATTTAATTGTATGTATTTCTGTATTACTAGATCCTTTTCTTTTTTTTTTGAGATGGAGTTTCACTCTTGTTACCCAGGCTGGAGGGCAATGGCGCGATCTCGGCTCACCGCAACCTCCGCCCCCTGGGTTCAGGCAATTCTCCTGCCGCAGCCTCCTGAGTAGCTGGGATTACAGGCACGCGCCACCATGCCCAGCTAATTTTTTGTAATTTTTAGTAGAGACGGGGTTTCACCATGTTGACCAGGATGGTCTCGATCTGTTGAGCTCGTGATCCACTCACCTCGGCCTCCCAAAGTGCTGGGATTACAGGCTTGAGCCACCGTGCCCGGCCTACTTGATCCTTTTCAATGAGAGTGAAGATTTATCAACACCATAGGTTATTGTGTAGCATTTACAGTGAGCATGAAGAATGGCAACATGAAAGTAATCTTTTTTTAATCTTAATTGTAATATTTTATCTCACAGGACATTTGGAAGCGATGAAAAATGTAAAAATCAAACAAGAAAATGAAAAGAACCTAAAACTACCTGTAATTACACCACCCAGAGATAACTACTCACTCCTAACATGTTGGTATAAAGACTCCCAGTCTTCTTGGGATCCTTTTGTTCACATTATTTTGTATTCTTGGCAATAAAAAATCTTTTTGTTTTAAAATCCTGTTTTAAAATCCTATTTTAAAAAAAAGTTATGATAATTGTGAAAATATGTATCCCCATAGTCAAAAACAAGAATTTATAAAATCATAATTATTGGTAGTATGGTTGGAGATTTTCCTTTGAAAGAATGTATAGTGGTTATCTCTTTGGGGGTAGACTGAGATTTTTTTTAATCATTTTCTGCATTTTTAAGATTTTACAATAAAAGTATGTTAACTTTTAATCAGGAAAAAAAATCAATAAACATTATATAGGGCTGTTTGCAATGTGGTTATTGTGGGAAGAAATTACATATTTACAGTCCCACTCCTTCATCCTATGAGGGAGGAATAGAGGATTCCATGTCCTACAGTGGCCCCTGGCCAGGCACTGGTGAAATTTGCCAGTGTGCTAAGTGACATCCAGGCAAATTTCTCCTTGGTGCTAACAACGTTTTCTGGTTTCTCAGTAGGTAATACTCATCTTGGCCCTGGAAAGACAGGAAGAAGCTTTTGAAACATAAAGCTTAAATGGGGTTTGACCTCAGCTGGGCAGCTCCCAGCTATAGGAGTTCCCCTGCTGAGCAGAGAAGATGACTGCAGAATTGAGAGAAGAAGCCATGGCAGTACCCCCATGGGGCCCAGTGAAGGTGAAAAAGGAGGAGGAGGAAGAAGAAAACTTCCCAGGTCAGGCATCCAGCCAACAAGTGCACTCTGAGAACATCGAAGTCTGGGCCCGGGGGGAGGGTCTTCAAACAGGACTTGAGGGATCAGAAGAGGAAGAAAAGGTAAATGGGGGCCTGGGAGGAAGAGGGGAGGAGAGATCTGAAGACCTCAAGTAGTTTGAGAGGGGACTCTGACCCTCTACTTCCACACATGGAGGTCTTATTTCTTGGGTACGATTCTGGCTTCCAGTCTTTTGTGATAGGATAGAAATTGCCCTTCTGATTGATCTGACATTCAGTACTTTTTATAACCCAGGGATTCTCGAGTTTTGCTACACAGAACCTGGAGAGCTTTTTATAAAATCTTGATGTCTATGCCGAACTCTGTTCCCATTAAATCAGAACCGGGGCCAGGCACAGTGGCTCACACCTGTAATCACAGCACTTTGGGAGGCCAACGCAGGAGGATCACTTGAGCTCAGGAGTTCAAGACCAGCCTGGGCAACATTGCAAAACCTTGTGTTTTGCAATGCAGATATAAAAAAAATTAGCTTGGCATGATGGCATGTGTCTCTAGTCTCTGCTACTTAGGAGGCTGAGGTTGGAGGACTGATTGAGCCTGGGAGGTATAGGTTGCAGTGAGCCACATTCATGCCACTGCACTCCAGCCTGGGCAACAGAGTGAGACCCTGTCTCAAATAAAAAAAAAAGAAACTGGGGGTGGGACCTGTGTTAGCCATAGTTTTTTAAAACTTTTCAGGTGATTTCAGTCAGGTTTTGACGATGCTAACCAGAGCTTCTAAAACTTTAATGTGCATAAAAATCTCCTAGGGGCTCTTTTTAAAATAGTTAAGTTGAGATTCTGATTGAGGACATCTAGATGGTGGTCTGAGGTTCTGCATTTTTTGGCAAGCTTCCAGGTGATGCAGATACTGCTGCTGAGCTTCAGACTACGCTTTGAGTCATGAGGCTGTACGCTGTGCTGTCCTTAATGTTTCAAACGCACCACTTACCATTACTAGTCAGAAGAGGGCAGAAGTGCCCCAGAGCCTTTCTGTAATAATATCATTAAAACCTTGCTGCTTTGATCTTTAGATCCCACAAAAGTTCACTCTGAAAATTCTCCCCATGTGCTCTCCTGTCCTATCATATACTCACTGGCAAGGTAGACTTAGATTCTGGAGCAAGCAGTGAGGTATAATCAAAATGAGAAGGAAGAAAGTAGCTGGCTTGCTTCTCTGCCCAGCTCACCTTGGGGGTTGGGGGAGACCCTGGCTTCCTTTTCTGTTTTTAAAAATTGCTTTATGGATTCCAAGAATAGATAATTACGTTCTCATTCTCAGAACTTTAATCATACTACCCCCTACCACCAGTTCCCTCTTAAACATGTGTCTGCTTGTCTCTAGGGTCAGAACATATTCTGGGACATGGCGGTAGTCCTGAAAGCAACTCAGGAGGCACCTGCTGCTTCACCCCTTGGCAGCTACTCATTACCGGCGACTCTGGCCAAGAGTGAGATACTGGAGACTCATGGGACCATGAGCTTTCTAGGTATAGTTCAATTCCCTGATTCAGAATCTGGCCTTTGGGGTTTCTCAAAATCTTTTCAGAGACTGTGGTGTGCGTCCAGTCTCCAAGGTTGAGCAACAGAGTACTGAGGTATTGAAAGTGTCAAGGAAAGCTGGGTAGGGGAATGATGAAATGCCTGTGCCTTTGTTATGGGAAGTGGCTTATTTTGCACACAGGCTCAAGATACCGGACAAACATAGGTGTTGTGCTGAAACCTTATCAATGCCAATATGGCACCGTGTTCAAGAGGCTGAAGAAGAGACTCAGAGCCAGCAAACAAGACATGGAGTTTTACTAGATGTTTCTATATAGGATAGAGAGTCTAATGGCAGCTGGCTGGACATAGGAGAACCACTTGGCCCAGTGGCACAGGCTGGTCAGGAGAACTGCAACCACTTGCAAAAGGCATGCAGTTTATCTAGCATTTTCACTTAATACCCTCCACCTAATGACCGCCACCTGGCAGCTTTAATTTAGCCCAAAACAAGGGGCCTCAATCCCCTGGAGGGCTCACATTCCACTGAAAGGGGTGGGGAATGGATAAGAAATGGATTTCCAGGTTGGCCACTTCTAGAATCCTTTGCTTGAATTCCAAACTGTATTCAGGTGTGTGTGCCATATAGGCTCATTCTCAGGGTATGCTTAAGTTATTGCTATTATGTATTTACCATACAATAGGTGAATTCCAAACTCACTTTTTAGTGAGATTTATTGTTCAGTGAGTTTCATCTCTGTGCACACATGTAGTCACATGTCCTCTTTATATGCTTTGTAGTTAGCATAGGTTGGTGAGGCTGCAAGAGAAGCTAGCTAAGATAGGAACAGTCAACTTTTGTGGTAATTTTTAGCAAATGCCCTGGAGATGTTTTGTTTTCATAGATCTTTGTGCAAATTATAGAGAATGTTGAGCAGCTGTGTCAACCATAATGATGTTCAAAACTAGGTCTTCATGGAGGCTACTGATGGCTTATCACCTTGTTCTCTCTACCTAAATATCTCACTGGCAGTGGCAGAAGTTTGCCTGTGGAGTGACATATAAGTGAGGGTCAAGAATGCAGTAGCCATGAGTCCTGTGTTTCAAAGCACGTAGATGGCTGCCAAGCCATATTCTTTTTATGAGCCTGCCACAGATTGAATTCTTTGAACCCACTCTCCTCCCTAGCCAGTTCGTCAGGCATCTGGGGACCAAGTCACTTTCTTAAGCCAGTCCTATGGGGAAAACAAGGATATCTGCCTAGATTTCCTTGTCTCGTCTTTAATTATTCCCAAACTCTCAGCAGCTTCTGTTCCCCACCTTCTGCTTTCTCTTCCAGTCTCTGGTGCATTCCCCTGTGTGTCACTTATTTTCTGTCTCTTTGCTTTATCAGCCATTCATAGTGCTAACTTCAACAGCTAGACATCATCAGGGATGGCCTCCCTTTTTCTACATGTGAGAGACATCTTAGTGGGGTTGCTGCCCTGCCTGTAGTAACTCTGTGACCTTGAATAAGTCCCTTCTCTCTCTGGACCTTCATTTCCTTTTCTACAAATTGGGTGTGTTTATTCATTAAGTATAGGATTTATTGGCACCCTCCTTCCTATGTGCCAGGCAGTGTGATAGGTGCTGGAGATAGAGAAATGAGTAAGACACAACCTTACCCATTTTTCAGCTCCCACACAATTGAAGAACAGTTTCATCTTCATGATGAAATTGTATAATATACATGAAAGTACTTTGGAAACTGTGATGTTACTGGGTTTTTAATATCTGAGCAAGTTTTTTTGTTTTTTGTTTTTGAGACGGAGTTTCGCTCTTGTTACCCAAGCTGGAGTGCAATGGCGCGATCTCAGTTCACCGCAACCTCCGCCTCCTGGGTTCAGGCAATTCTCCTGCCTCAGCCTCCAGAGTAGCTGGGATTACAGGCACGCGCCACCATGCCCAGCTAATTTTTTATATTTTTAGTAGAGACGGGGTTTCACCATGTTGACCAGGATGGTCTCAATTTCTTGACCTCGTGATCCAGCCGCCTCAGCCTCCCAAAGTGCTGGGATTACAGGCGTGAGCCACCGCGCCCGGCCTCTGAGCAAGTTTTAACTGCAGTTTCCATATTTTAACTAATGTTGAATTTATTAAAGTTTGTTCATTTAAAAACCAATTTTTAAGCCACTAAGCATAATTTTTTACTTCATCCATACGTCTAGAAATATTTGTATAAAAGTGAGAACTTTTTTTTTTGAGTTGGAGTTTTGCTCCTGTTGTCCTTCTTGCAAAGGCTGGAGTGCAATGATGTGATCTTGACTCACCACAACCTCCACCTCCCGGGCTCAAGTGATTTTTCTGCCTCAGCCTCCCGAGTAGCTGGGGATATTTGTATCTTTTCTTTAATTCATGTTCAGTTAAGCTTCAAATTTTACAGATTTAACTTTTTTAAACATTTCAGCCAGGCACAGTGGCTCACGCCTGTAATCCCAGCACTTTGGGAAGCCAGGGCAGGCTGATCATCTGATGTCAGGAGTTCGAGACCAGTCTGCCCAACATGGTGAAACCCTTTCTCTACTAAAAATACAAAAATTAGTTGGACGTGGTGGTGCGCGCCTATAGTCCTAGCTACTCTGGAATCTGAAGCAGGAGAATCACTTGAACCCAGGAGGCAGAGGTTGTAGTAAGCCAAGATTGCACCAGTGTACTCCAACCTGGGCAACAGAGTGAAACTCCATCTAAAAAAATAAATAAAATAAAATAAAATATTTAAACATTTAATTCTACCTGCTTATCAAATTTCTTTATATAAAACATAATTGCAAATTTTATTGAATATCTAAATATTTATTTAAATATCTTTAGTTCTTTAAAACATTCCAAACACCTAACTGGGCATACTTACAAATCATGTAAGTAAAATCTTGATAAACACACAGCTTTTATAAATCTAATGAATTGAACTTATAAACTTAGTAAATCAAATTACCCTTCTTACCTCAGCATATAGTCACCAGCTAAAATGTCAGGCTCATGTAGCATTTCAGGTCTCTTTTTAAAAAGAGTGAAAGTATTGATTTCAAAACTATGGCTATGCTTATGTTCTAGTTGGTCACAATTAGTGTTGGTTTAGTTTTTCATTATTTCTGTACTTACTTAATTTCTCTAGAGCTACATGTAATCCTACATGATTTAAAAAAAAGGAAAAATACCATTTCAAATAAGCCAAAGTTATATGCTCAGATTATTTGCTGACTATTCTTTTCACCCAAGGAGATTTGAACTTATCTACACCAGATAGACTCTGGGCACTTGCCAAGACCCTAGGTCTTACTTTACTCAGTGATGAATCACTTGCATGAAAACCCTCTAGGCTGCAGTTGCACCTGGTTTTGTAATGGTTTTGACATAAGATTATTCCAATAGAAGGAATTGTTTTCATGATTGGCTCTAATCAGTTTATTAGTTCCCATTGATCTTCATTTTTTATGCCTAACATTGTAAATCTCCCAGGAAGGAGGGTAGGAGTGAAGGTCCGGGAGACAGTACAGCTGTGAACTGAAGTTTTCATGGGCTCTCTTTCTCTTGGAGAGATGCCCAGTTGGGGGATGGGAGGCCCAGGTATCAGTGATGGGGGAGTTAAAGCAAAAGAGGAAGTGAAAAGAAGCAAGAAAGGAGATGTTAGATGGGAGAAGAATACAGTGGGATGTAGGTGATAAAGAATAGTAGAGAGCTTAAAGAGAAGAAAGCAGTTAGCAAAAGAAAAAGAGAAGAGACATGGAACTGTATATGGAAAAATTCAAAATATTTCACACACAAAAATTACAAAAACAGGAGAGGAAGAGATGAAGAGGCAGTAGGGGGTACAGGTAACAGAAAAAAAAAGCAGAAGATAGAAGAGCAAGTAAACTACAGAGAGAAAAATAGTACATTTTTTAAAAGAGACATAATCAGAACAGTAGGAATAGAAATAACCAGAAGAAGTATAGCATTTTAGATGTTTCTTTTTGTTTTTTAGACAGTCTTGCTCTGTGTCACCCAGGCTGGAGTGCAGTGGCACAATCTCAGCTCACTGCAGCCTCTGCCTCCCGTGTTCAACAGTTCTCCTGTCTCAGCCTCCCAAGTAGCTGAAACTACACGGGTGTGCCACCACACCTGGCTAATTTTGTATGTTTAGTAGAGACGGGGTTTCACCGTGTTGGCCAGGCTGGTCTGAAACTCCCGACCTCAGGTGACCTGTCCTCCTCAGTCTCCCAAAGTGCAGGGATTACAGGTGTGAGCCACCACTCCCGACCAGCATTTCAGATTTTTATTGTCTGCTGTATCCACCACTTGGGTGTTTCTTTTCTCTGACACTGCTCATCTTGTCTGAATGATTGTGATAGAATTTCCAATTACCATAGTCTTAACTAGGCAATCAAACCAGCCTGTTTTCCTGCCTCCAATATTGCTTTGTACCACCCAACATCCTTGTCCCACCCACTCATATCACTGGTTGGATGGTCATCCTGTAGGATATTTCCCTCTTGTACGTGCTAGACTCTCCCCTGTGCAGCTGCAGCAGTTATAACCTGAAGCTCACAGCACCACTGCTCATTTCTGAGCTGACATCACCATTAGGAATACCTCCCTCCTCTACAGGCTTGCTACCCATCCCTGTTACCCTTTATTTCACTTGCCTTATTTCCTGAGCTTGGTTTAATTGACAAACAATTGTTAAGGGTTCACTGTGCCAAACCTGGGTTACGTGGGTGCACATTTCAAAGTCAAGGTTGATAAGGGTAGAGAGGAGACAGACATAAAGAACTGCTGCAGTGTTACTGGTAGCAGGACTCCTTTTTGACACCATTAGGTTCTGAAGCAATGGAAAGCATCCTGAGACTAATCAGTGTCATACAGCCGCAGGGTGTTTTGATGTTCTCATGGTATTTTCTGGCATTGTGGACCAGGCTATGCTATAACTCAGCAAGGTCAGCTTTCTTTGACATAGTGCTAAGCTAGTCCCATGACATGAGGGTAACAGTTTGCTATGTACAGTTTTTTTGTAATTCTCCTAGTGTAGCTGTCTGTCACCACAGCAACTCGCCTCCCCTAAGGGTTCATCCTTCCTTCTGGCCTGTCACAGCATCATCAGTCAGCCTGAAAGTCACTGCACACATTCAGAGCACTGTGTTCCAGGCAATGTCTGAGTAGTTGACATAGAGTAACTCCATTAATCTACTCACAGCCTTATGAGATAGATACTGTTAGTGTCCCTGATTGGGAGATTGGGAAATAAACACACAGGAGTTAAGTAGCCCAACGTCATTCAGCTAGTTCGTGTCAGAGCAGAGATTTGAAACCAGGCAGTCTGGCTCTAGAATCCATGTTCTTGACCTGTATGCTTCATGGCCTTGCAGTGTTTCATATGCTTTTGGCTGCTGTGGCTGTCTTGGTAGCCAGTGTGACCCTTTCTGTCCATGCTTATCCTTTCTTTGATATCCAGCATCCTCGACACAGAAGCCTGAATTGCCAGATCTTTCTGTTTACAGGTAGCAAATCTCCCTAATTAACTGGTAGGCTGTAAGCAAAGCCACACTAAGTAGGTAAGGTAAGAAGGCAAGCTCAGGGTGTACTTTAAGAGATTGCTGTTAAAAAAAAAAGAAGAAGGCAAGCCTAGGGAGAGGCTGGTGTCCTTCATAACTGGTCTTCATTGCAAGATCAGTCATCAGACAGCCAGGAGGAACGCTGTCTGGAAATTGGTCCTCTCTGGCATGAGGCAGTGGGGTTAAGTGTCTAATGAAGGTAAGTGGAAGTGCTGGAAAGACCATGAGTCATTGGATTCTGCTGTAGGTAGCCAGGTGGGCACAGCCACAGCTGAAGAACCCAGAGGAGAGGTAGCATGTGATGGGATTCTTTGATTTGATGAAGCCATTTTGTGGAGGTGCTGAAATCACATACTTACTTTTATGACTTGATGATCCTATTCTTTTTCTAGGCCAGAGAAAGCTAACGTTTGTTTTTTCTGTTTCTTGGCTCAGGTGCTGAAACCAAGAACCTACAGTTACTGGTTCCAAAAACTGAGATATGTGAGGAAGCTGAAAAACCCCTCATGTTATCAGGAAGAATTCAGAAAGCTGATCCTCAAAGACCTGAGTTAGAAGAAGCTTGCGAAAAAGGAAGCATGTTAAAGAGACAGAGAATAAAGAGGGAAAAGAAAGATTTCAGACAAATGATAGTGAATGACTGTCACTTACCTAAAAGCTTCAAAGAAGAGGAAGATCAGAAATGTAAGAAATCTGGGGGAAAATACAGCCTTAATTCTGGCACTGTTAAAAATCCAAAAACCCAGCTTGGGCAAAAACCTTTTACGTGTAGCGTGTGTGGGAAAGGATTTAGTCAGAGTGCAAACCTCGTTGTGCATCAGCGAATCCACACTGGGGAGAAACCCTTTGAATGTCATGAATGTGGGAAGGCCTTCATTCAGAGTGCAAATCTTGTTGTGCATCAGAGAATCCACACTGGACAGAAACCTTATGTTTGCTCAAAATGTGGAAAAGCCTTCACTCAGAGTTCAAATCTGACTGTACATCAAAAAATCCACTCCTTAGAAAAAACTTTTAAGTGCAGTGAATGTGAGAAAGCCTTTAGTTATAGCTCACAACTTGCTCGGCACCAGAAAGTCCACATTACAGAAAAATGCTATGAATGTAATGAGTGTGGGAAAACGTTTACTAGGAGCTCAAACCTCATTGTCCACCAGAGGATCCACACTGGAGAGAAGCCCTTTGCCTGTAATCATTGTGGCAAAGCCTTTACCCAGAGTGCAAATCTTATTGTGCATCAGCGAAGCCATACTGGTGAGAAGCCATATGAGTGTAAAGAGTGTGGGAAAGCCTTTAGTTGTTTTTCACACCTTATTGTGCACCAGAGAATTCACACTGCAGAGAAACCTTACGACTGCAGCGAATGTGGGAAAGCCTTTAGTCAGCTCTCTTGCCTTATTGTCCACCAGAGAATTCACAGTGGAGATCTTCCTTATGTGTGTAATGAATGTGGGAAGGCCTTCACATGTAGCTCGTACCTACTTATTCATCAGAGAATCCATAATGGAGAAAAACCTTACACGTGTAATGAATGTGGGAAGGCCTTCAGACAGAGGTCAAGCCTCACTGTGCACCAGAGAATCCACACTGGGGAGAAGCCCTACAAATGTGAGAAGTGTGGTGCAGCTTTCATTTCTAACTCACACCTCATGCGACACCACAGAACCCATCTTGTTGAATAACAAGGAATAAAGGGGAAGACGAGCATTGGTCATAACCTTCTGCCTCCAAATGAGACCCCTCTTTGCTGTTTCTTCCTCCTTTATAAAAGTGAGGCCTATGTCCTTAAAAGTTACAGTTTTCAGGAGTGCAGCACAAAACACAAGATAAGCATTTCAGAGGATAATTTAAAGAAAACAAAAGGAAGCACCTAAAGGCAAGGACTTTGTTTTAACTGTACCTTAAGCGGTCATGTTTTCTGAAATGGAATGTGGCTTTCTTAGGAATAGGTCATACACAGCTAAGTGGTAATGATGCTGTTTGGGGAAGGCCTTTTTTGCTTAATTTTGTTTTTTAAAACTCTGATTGTTCCTTGAGCAACAAACAGGCGGTTATCTGCCTGTTTGAATTCTGGTTGAACTGTGTATTCTGGTATTTCTGGTTAAGTGGTGACTAGGTAAGGAATCTACTTGGGTTAGCAATTCAGCAGTTCATTTATGAACATTTATAAGCTTTCCATTTCCTAGGTAATTTTTAAAAAGCCAGTCAAAAAAACTGTCTACTGTACCTAAAATGGACAGAAAAAGGAAATGGCCCTTTTCCTTACTGTCTATACCTCCTGAACCTTGGTATTGTAAAGCTCTGGGGACCTCTGAGTCTGTTCTGACCATTTCCTAGTCTGCATGGCCAAGCACTCAAGGATTGATGGACACCACACACCAGCTATGTATTTGCTAAGGTCGACAGCTCCTTCTCCAAACTACTCATACCCCTAATTCCGATCGCATTCCATTTGGGTGAGATGCAATTAGCAGCCCCCTTCCTGGATAAAGGAGTCAAAGAATAAAGCTTGCCTAGAGGCATGCCCCAGTTGTCTCTGCTGTCATTCTGCTCAAGTCCAGCCAGGGGTCTCAGTTTAGGTTTCGTTCTCACATTCTGGATGGTGTTTAGAAGAAATGACAGAGCTCTTCTCATTCTGAGAGGACCAAAGAGGGAAAGTGAAGGGAGAGGGGAGGTGGAAGTAAGATTCCTAAGGTCTTAATTTGTTTTTTTGAGAAGTTCAGAGGAACTGGAATATGAAAACTTTTAGAAGGATGAAGAAACTGGCCAAGGTAAGATATCTTTGTTACCATTGAGCCTTTACTCCTGGAAAATGATTTATAAAACTATGCAATAGGCAGCGTTATGTAATCATATTGTCTTGTATTTATATAGAACTTGTATTCTTTATTGTATGTGTACCTTCCTGTATTGATCACGATACATGGCACATATTTCACACTTTCACATAGGTCACTACCTTGGTCCTTACAACACTGAAAGAGGTGGTTGCCCGTTTACCTGAGAATGGTAATTTAGTGCAAGGCCAAGGAACAAGTGACAGCCTTATATCCAAGTCCAGGGCCTGAATCCTGTGTGTCTGTTCTGACTTGCCACTTGCCTAACCACCTGGAATTCCCATGCAGACCTGTGGGGGAGACAAAGTATGTTGTATCATTTTTCAGGTGAGGATGCTGATGTGAAAGATTTTGGGGTGTGCTTTAGGCACTGTGACCAGAGCAGCAGCAACCCTAAGACTAGAATTTGGTTCTCCTGATTTCTGGCTCTGTCCCTCCACCCTGTTCTAATGACTTAGGGCATGCAAGAGCATTTATCATAAATGCTGAGCCTGATGCAGCTCTCATGCAGAAGTCCCATGGATTCATTATCACATTTCTACAAGACCAAATATTAATCACATAGTGTTTTCTAGTTTACAGATAATTTTTTTTTTTAGATGGAGTCTTGCTTGCTCTGTTGCTTAGGCTGGAGTGCAGTGGCACGATCTTGGCTCACTGCAACCTCTGCCTCCCAGGTTCAAGTAATTCTGCCTCGGTCTCTGGAGTAGCTGAGACTACAGGTGTGTGCCACAACACCTGGCTAATTTTTTTGTATTTTTAGTAAAGATGAGGTTGTAGTATGTTGACCGGGCTGGTCTTGAACTCCTGACCTCAGGTGATCCACCTGCCTCGGCCTCCCAGAGTGCCAGGATTACAGGTGTGAGCCAGCATGCCTAGCCTACAGTGCACTTTCACATACAGAAGGCATACCCAAGAAAGCTTATTAATTTCCTCTTTTTCTTCCTTCCTCTAGTTTTTTTGTCAAAACATATGCAACTTATTTTCCCAGTTTCACTCTAAATCATAGAGACAGAAATACAGGAAGTCAAAAGTATTCAAAAGTAGGATCAAATACTCATGCCCTAACCGATCCTAACAGTGACTGTTCAGTCTCCCTGATGGAATGGGAAGACCTAAAGATAACACCATGTGTCTCTGCTGAGAGTAGGAACAAGTTAATTTTTTTCCCCAGACTTATCGGGAGGCTAAGACTAGCAGGAGAGCATGTCTGAAGATTTGGGTAACTGTGACTTTGACCCACCAAGAAACCAAAGCTGCTTTGCTGAAAGAATAGTAGCTGGGATTTATGACCATTAAGATAGTTAAACCATTCTAGTATCACATATGTTTATCCTCATAATTGAATATTCAGTTATGGATGATTGTGATTTTCATTTATAGGTAGTTCAGAAAAGCTACCTAGTTGATTATGATGCAAAACTAGGTTTGAGATTCACTGACCCAACCTTGCAGTAAAGTAGTAGTTTTAAACCTTGGCTTCACGTTAAAATCACCTTGGATGCTTTTTTAAAATTTACATTTCTAGACCTCAGTATTTTTTAAAACTCTGGAGAGGATTACAATGTACAGCAAAGGTTATGAACTACTGTAGCAAAAAGTAAAGGCTACAGGCCAAGAATGTGTGTGATCAAAGGTGGAGGAGGTGGGGGTGCTCCAGTAAAAAGATCTGTATGTGCAAAGCATTCTATGTATTTTCAGCAAAACAGGACACTTTACACTGACTGGACTAGGTGTCCATTAGTGCCTCTGCCAACCATTGGATGTTAGTTAGAGGATTCTGCCACTTAACTTATTTGTATTTAAGTGAATATACCAGACATTTTATTTATATGAGCAAACCAAGTTTTACACAACATACTTTCGGTACGTATTATGACTTTTTACATTTCTACTTGGATTTCATCTCTAGGTCTGAGTTCCCACAAACCTGCATCCAGGTTCAGGGCCTTTGATTCTGCACAAATCATGTGAACCAAGCGGATTGATTACTAGATGGATCAGATCCTTCCCCAGCTAATAATTCTCCATCTTAATTCCAGCCCTCAAAATAAATTGCAGCCTGCCATTTTCTTTATGGTTTACAATAAGGGAGGAGTGACCACCTTTTGTCAGTTTGCTTAGGTTCCTATTCTTTGGGCTCATCTCCCATCTCTTTTCGGTAGTCTTGCCAGAAGTGGTTGGGAATTCTGAAGCCCCATTTTCCCAAGTTGCTGAGAGCTATCAGACCTAGCTGTCCAGAAAAGGGCTCTGTTCCAGGCCTAGTGATTGTGGTTAAGAGTAGAGCCAGAAATTCTGTCCTCATCCTCAAATGAGACCAACAGATATGTATTAAGTGGAGCACAGTGATGCAAAACTGATGGTGAAATCATGTACAGTACTCTGGAAGAGCAGGAGAAAGGCTTCAATTCCTAACACACACGAAGTTACGGACTCAAACACAGCCATTAATTCCTCCAGGCTTATGAAGAGGTGTCTTTGGACAAAGCTAATTCTTCATCTGCTCTGGATCCCCTCCCTTAGGTAGTGGTCCTTCTCCCACATCTGTCACCTCTCCACTTGCTCTTCCAGTGTAGGCAATGCAACCTTTCTGGGGTTGCAGCCCCTTTGGGAATCCAGTGGAGATTGTGGATCCTCTTCCCCCAAGAAATGTATGTTGCACATTAAATCGTGGTCGCTTAGAGGTCATGCAGGCTCCTTGAAGCCAATACGTAAATCTAGGGCCTTAAGCCTAATCTGGGGATGCATTACATAATTACCAGTGACTTTTTTTTTTAAGGAGGTTAGGATATAATCTCTTAAGAGTATTGTCCAGACACATAACCTTTAAAATTTGTTTTTCTCTTGGATTCCTTCCCTCATCAAATGAGGGCACCCACTACATTATCCCCACTACCTGGGGCACCCAGATTGAATGCCCAGAAGGCATTTCTGCCTTCCTGAGCATCACTCATTGATTAGAAAAGTATTTTGTGTTTACTTTGTGGTGAACATCATGCTAGATTCTAGAGTGCCAAAGCAAATGTGGTCTGCTGGCCCTGTTATGTCTGTTGTGGGGAAAATATCAGGATGCCTAACATGGTTTACTGAACTCTTAATCTCTTTCTAGGCTCATCTCTTCACTTTCAGGCACCTTTTACTGTGGCCTAGAGGCAAGTGCTTGGTCTCCTCTGTGCCTTTGCTCACACTTTTCTTACTTCCTGTAATACCTCATCACTACTTCCCACTCAATCCCCTTCTACTTTTGCAAGCTTAAGTTTCTTGTAATATTTGGTTCAAGTTCCATCTCCGGGAAACCCCTGACTACCTTATGGCCAAAGGCGTATTCAGAAGTATATTAATTAATACATGTATACAAGTGTACACGCTGTGTATCCAGAGGTTTACTTTTTTGCTTTAAAGTGAAAAATTTGGATTAAAAATTGTGTATATAATACAGTTCTCATATACTATTGCAGTGATATATACTATTAAGAAGTAGATAGATAAATTACCTCAAGGAAATTAGAAAATATAAGTGGTTAAATGACTTACAGCCATGCAGATGGCTAATTACAGGCTTAGATTCAAACCACTATACTCTGGATAATAGGATTATGGGTTATTAAAAGGGTTTCTTTTTTAGTAATTACTGTATTTCTATAAAGAGCAAGAGTTTTGTTAAAGAATAAATTATATTTACATACCTAATTTATTAACTATAAACCATATCTCAATTCCCCATTTTGCAGTATGTTGGAGGAACCCTTCCCTTTCTTTCTCCTTTCCTTTTCCACATCATTGTCTCTTTCATTCTCAAGTCTGATAATTCTTAAATTCTATTCTGTAACCAGTTAGGATTTTATGCTTTGTTTATTGATTTATTTCAACAGTTGTAAGTAAACAGCATCAACAGTATTATGACCATGTGAATATTGTTGACTGCAGATCTTAGCTTACAGTGTTTATATTTCCTTTTGGGATCAGCTTTTTTTAACTGAAGTTTCTAGTTGCCTTTTTTTTCACCTTGTACTGGTTGCTTTCAGCACACTCTCAGTCATTTTCAAATTTTCCATCCAATTAAGTACTCTGTTGAGTTCCCTTCTTTTCTCTCTGTGTAGTCCGCTTTTGGCCTCCTGCTCCAGTCTTTGATGCCCTTTCTGCCTGTTCTGTTGTTACGAAGTTTCTAGTTGCCTTTCTTTTCACCTTGTACTGGTTGCTTTCAGCACACTCTCAGTCATTTTCAAATTTTCCATCCAATTAAGTACTCTGTTGAGTTCCCTTCTTTTCTCTCTGTATAGTCCTCTTTTGGCCTCCTGCTCCAGTCTTTGATGCCCTTTCTGCCTGTTCTGTTGTTACACTGGACTCACTGTTTTCTGGATTTTGTGTCTCCCTCTTTCTTTGTTTACTTCATCATTCTGCTATAGCGCATGTCAAGTCTCCTGTCAGGAAAGAGTATATGGAAGGCAAAGTTGTTGAGTGTTTGTACATCTCTCTCTGATCTCACACTTGATTGGTAGTTTGACTGGCTCTGGAATTCTAGGTTGAAAAATTTCCCTAGAAGTTTGTAGCCATTGCTTCACCAGCTTAAAGCATCTACTGCTGCTAATGAGAGGCCTGATTCCAATCTGATTATTATTTATTTGACAATCAATAAATAGTATGTACATTACAATGATCTGTTTTCCCACTCCTCTGCCTGGAAGCTTTTAAAGTCTGTTCTTTATCTTTTATGTATTCAATTTCCTAATCCTCAGTGGAATTTTTCGATCTAGAGACTCAGGTACTCCTACTCTTGGAAATTTTCTCATTATTTATATGACTATTCCCCATTTCCATGTGTTTTTTTCCCCTCTGTTTTTGCTCTTTATGGAGTTCCTGCTAATCAAATGTTGGACCTTGTAGATAGATCCTTAGCTGCATTCTTTATTTCCATTTCTTTATCTTCTGCCACTATGGGAAGAGTACCTTGATTATTTTCTAATGAATAATTAAAGTGTCTTCTGTTACATTAATAAGATTATTTTCTCAGAAATTATAGAAAATAATCATAATAATATTAACAGTAACTGGTTTAATTTCTAAGAGCCTTTTCTTAAAAGTGTCTTCTGTTACATGAATTATCTTATTCCCTTCATGCCCCTGCCACTGGGTCCTTTTTTCCCTCTGTTTACCTTGTTTACTCTCATTAGAGACTTTCCTCAAAAGTGTTGTGATTCTTACTGACACACACCTATATACATGTGTGTGCTCATGAATGTGTCTGAATTAAAAGTCTAATTGAGACCTCTGTGTGTAGGAGTGAGATTTGCTCACTTTTTCCCTGGAGACCCCTAAAGGCCAGAATACAGAATGTTTTGCCTTGGGCTCTTACATTTAATTAGCAAAAATCCTCTGACATTTTTGTCTGGGGTTTAAATGCTATTAAATGGTTTTCTGGAAATGGGAGGGAAAGCAGTCAAGTGTTATTACAGACTTCCAGTTAATGCGCTATTTTTAGCTCCACTTCTGCCTCCTACCCTTCATTGTACCTGGGGTTTCAAAATTCCAAGTCTCTGGGGTTGGGCAGGGTGGGTCAGCGACTTCTTCCATTGGATGGCCCTCAGCAAGAGTTCAAACTGTTACTCCCTCCTCCCAGCTTTCTCAGTTACCACATCATTCATTTTCCATCTTCTGGAAATTTATTCCTTTTATCTCATTGTTACACATTTTAACCATTTTTATCTGTTGTTATTTTAGGGGAAGGTTAAACCATTTTTAAAAGAATGTTAAACCATTTTTAAAAGAATGTTGTTATCCTTTGATACAGCAGTACCACTTTTAGAAAGCTATCTTAAGAATGAGTATTTGTACAATGATTTATAAACATGTCAGTATTACTCGTTCACAAAAAATAAGTGACTAACCTAAGTAACAATAGGGGAATGATTAAATTATAATACTGTGGAATATTGTGCAACCACTAAAGGTCATAATTAAAGGAATAGTGGTATGATAAAATGCACTTAGTAATATTAAATAAATAATGCAAAGCACAAAATAAACACTGTACAGAGAGCACATTTTTCTAAGATGTACATGCATAGAAAAGTCTGGAAAGAAATTGGGGGTTAACTGCGGTTGAATTTTCTGCATTGTCTACATTTTCTATGATGAGACTGAATTACTTTTATGATCTGGAGGAGAAAGAAAGATCATGGCTTGTTCAAAGTGATGAGACTTTCTTGTGAAGGGCGGAATGGGTAGTAGGGAATAACAGAATAAGGATCTGGAGAAAAAAGTCCTTATTTTTATCCATTGTTAGCATTTTATGGTTAACAAGACCAAATAGCAGATGAAGGAGTTCAGCAGAGGAATATATATTTGTGACATTGTACTGGCTGGAGTGTGGAGGCTGAGCTGGTGAGGGGAGAAAGGCATCCTGAAGACCATATTGGCAGCTTTTTTTTTAAGAGCCTAAGAGAGACTGTGGGATTCTAACCCAGCCACTAGAAGGGGGCCAGAGGAGAAGGAATAAATGTAATGTTTTGAAGATAAAATGAGCAAACTTTAAAGGACACAGAAGATCAAGCAGCAAATTCCCAAGCCAGAAGGCTGGGCTTCTGTATCCTGCCTGGTGAGACCTATGATGAGATAAATGGGGCCAGGCCCAGGTCTGAGAGGTACTGCTTTTCTTGAAGTCTCTGGAGTAACCCTGTCTTCACAGTGGCTAATGCCTCGCTGATGTTGGGAAGGGCAGGAGACAAGGGAGGAGACAACCCAAGTCCTAGCAGGCCACTTGGCTATCCCAGGATACCTTGACACTGACTAGGTTCCCCATTTGTGCCATGTGTGGTTTTCCAGGATGCCTGTGATCTCTGGTGTTTTCCCTCCAAGATTAGGGTTCCCACAAGGCAAGTCCCCCTACTGAACTAATAGCAAGGTTGTAATCATCACTACTGTTAGTTGAGGGGTTCCTGTGTGCCAGGCACCATACTAAATGCCAACGTGTTTTAACATCATTAATCCTCACCTGAGGAGGGAAGTTCTCCTATCCCCATTTGCAAAGTCAGTAGTCCCAGTCAGGATTAGAACACCTCTGATGTACAAGTCTGTGCCACTTTCTCCCACGTACCTTCTCCGTGCACCCCCAGGAGCTCCTCTCCATGTGTAAAAGTTGTTTGTTAAATTGAAAGAGCAGTGCTTGCCTGTAGTAAAAAGGTCAGTGGTACAAAAGCATACAAAGAGTAAGACTCCCTCCCAGTCCACACAACCAGTCTTCTTCCCCAGTGGTAGCTACTGTTAAATTTCTTGAGGATCTTTCCTCAAGATAGTCCCGGCATTTACAATCTTAAATATCCCACTTAAAAACACACACACACACACAAAATGAGAGCTTATGATACACAGTCTGCACCTTGCTTTTTTCAGTGTCTTGGAGGTGGCTTTATATTAGCCTGTAAGATCTACCTCATTCCTTTTTCACTGCTTTGTGATATTCCATTGTGTGAATGCACCATAATTCATACAGTACCCCTGTTGGTGGGCCTCTAGGTTCTTTTCTGCCTTTTGCTATTACAAATAATACTGTGCCAAATATCCCTGCACACTGTCCTTGGATAAACTGATGAAATTAAATGGTAGGTGCATTTCATATTTTGATAGAAATTGGAAATGTAGTTACCAATGTGTGTATGAAAATGCCCATTCCCCTGAAGCCTCTGTGAAACTCTTGTGTTGTTTCTGATCTCATAATGAAAAATGCTCTCATATTTTAATTTACATTTAATTATGAGCGAAACTGGGTATCACATCTCATATTTAAAAGCCCATGTGTATTTCTTTTCTGTGACTTGCTTACTTGTGTTCTGTAGCAGTTTTTCTGTTGATCCTTTTAATAATCCATTTGTACAAACTATAAAGAAATTATCCTTATCTGCCATATGTGTTGCAAATATTTTCCCAGGTTTATTGTTTGTTTTACTTAATTTTGCTGTTTGGATACTTAAAATTTAATATCAAATCAAGGACTTCCCTCTTCAAGATGATAATAATTTCTAGTCTCCCATAATTTCTAGTCCTTTGAGATCGGTCCCTTTGAAATTATTTGTGGATAAGGACTGAGTCAGTTCTTGGCCCCACCTCCTGCTCCTTTTTCTCTGGCATCCAGCTGGAGGAACCAAGCTGGAAAAACACATAGATGAAGACATCTCCCAGCTTCCTAGAGCAGTCGGGCAGGAAGCTTCAATCAGGGCTGTCTGCCCTCACCTGACTCAAAAGTAGGGGGTCCGGGGAGCCCAGAGGAGAGCTGAGGGAGGAGTGTGCAGTCCGAGAAAGAACAGAAGGGACTGTATCCTCGGATGGGGTGGGGTGGGGTTGGGGCTGGTTGGGGGCTGCAGCCTGGAGGCTAGGGATAGGCCCTAATCTGGAGCCAGGTTTGTTGCGGGGAGGGGCTAGAGCTTGAGATGTGTGAGGCGAAGGAGGAGGCTGCAGCTACAGGGGTGGGGAAGGGGAAGAATCGGGAATGGTCAAGGAGAAGAGCAGCCAGGTGCAGGTGGGCAGCCAGGGTGGGAGTCAGGGTCACATGTGGTGGCCTGGAGGAGGAGCCCAGGTCAGGGAAGCCCCAAGGAGGAAAAGGGCAGCTTCCTCTGGGACCCTCGTGCTGCCCACTGCTTTCTCTGGCCTTAAGTGGGCGGGGCAGAAACCAGACCATACTCCTGAGGGCAGGTGGAGAAGAGGGCATTCTAGGCTGGCCCTGTTCCTCACCTCCCAACCCAGGACAGATACCTAAGGTCTCCGACATGAATCCTCTCTTGCCATTGTGAGGCTGGGGTGAAATGAGGGATAGGAAATGGCTTTATAACTATTAAAAGGCTGCCTGGTTGCACAGGTCTGCTATGACCTTCTGGAGGACAGGGTAGGCATGGACAAAAGAAAACCAAGCCTTACCTGATTGGAAAACATTTTTACTTTCTCAGGGCAACCTGGGGCATGCTTGCACCTGACTGCCTTACACATGAGCCTCAGCTGTGCTTCCAGAGCCTCGTTCTGTGGTGGATACTTAACAAATAATAAGCAGAGGCCTTATCTGAAGGAGGTGAGATGTGAAGTCACAACTCAGGTCCCAAGGGGGAGAATCTGTTTAGAATAGAGTCTAAGGGGGCCACTGTGCTGAGGAAGGAGCCACATAGTTCTGTGACCCCTGGGGCCAGAAGAAGCTATGGGGAGTTGTCTCTGGAAGTGTCTCTGCAAGGACCCAGACCACTCCTGATACCCCCACACAAGCCCTTCGAGGAAGGAGCAGGATGGATAATCTCTGGTCCCAGATAGCTGTGGAGGCCAGAGTGGCTTCCAGACGGTGGGATGGGCTGGAGCACCTTTCCTTCCTTCCGCCCTGGTGGGAAAAGCTAGGACTTTGAAACAATAGGTGGTCATGAACTGTATTCACAGGGGCCTGGTCCCAAGATGCCCCTGATCCTCCTGGGATGGGCCAGGTCTGTGGCGGACAGTATTTACTGTCCCTTTAGGTGACACTTGAGCCCAAAGAACCCAAGGGTTTTCTCTCTTCCATCACTTGGGTTCAAATGAGAGTGAAGTGCACACAGATGAAGATGAGTCCTGTGAGCCTAAAGAAGGAGCAGCCCCAGGCTGGTGGCTCTGGCCTTGGGAACACCCCCACCAGGGCTAAGGGCTAGCATTTCCCATCTTAGCTTGGTGGGCCACAACCAAAGATGAGAGGTGGAGTGTGTCTGGCCCTGGAGGAGTGTGGTGAAAGGACCAGGGGTTGCCAGGGCAGGGCTGCAACTCATTTTTTCATAAGCCTTTCTTTGTTCCGAGATGAGGCATGGCCTTAGGTGTGAGAGATGTACCAGGCTAATTTCACTCTCTCTTATTCACTCAGTGTCCAGCTGCCCAGCTGCTACCGAGTGCCGAGCACCAGGACCTGCTCTGCTTCTGACTGGTTGGGTCACCTCAGAGAAGTCGATGTCCTCACCTGGTAAATAAAGCAGCATTTCCTGCCCTGCCAGCTTCACTGAGTGGTATGCATCAAAGAAGACTGGGACAGGACAGGGCTGTAAACGGTTCAGTCATTTGACACTGCTGTGGTTATTAACCAGGCTGAGCTCATTGTCCAAGAGGAGAACTGATGCCGTTTGGGAGGGATGCTTCTGTGGACTGCGTGGGGCCGGGGCCCCCTCCTGGAGATGACTCCTCAGTCGTTTTTGCCTTTAAACACCAGGCCCACCCAGAAAGTTTACCTTTACTTATTATGGATTCTTTCCACTGCCCACCAGCGAAAGGAGTGGGAGTAGGGCCAGCACTGTGACCTCCTTTAGCTTCCCCTCCAAAGGCCACCAGTGGACTTTCCCTCCAGTGTTTGTTTTCCAGGTCTCAGTAGTAGCCTGGCAAAAAGAGCATGAGGTCTGAGAGAAAGCCACCCTGAGAGTAGGGTGGGAGCTTACTCTGACCTCAGCCCTCTAAGGCTACCTGCTGCCTGGGACCCATCTGTTTCCTGCCCCAAGGGCCACTGCTGGAGAAATGCTTCTGGGGCTGACTTGAAAGGCCTCAGCCAGCCTAGGTAAGGCCACTTTCCACTGGGCCTTCACCTCCAGGCCTCAGAAATACAGGTCTCTGATACTCTCAGCACAGTGTGCCTCTCAGAACCCAGTCTTCAGGGCCTGGCCATTCCCAAGGCTGCCAAACAAGGTTTGTATGTCTTGGGAAAGGCCATTTCCCTCCCAGCCAATTAGCAGACATCTCTTTGTAAATTACTCCAATATGTGGTGTAACACTTGGGTCCTTGCTGTGATCCTCACTCTTGCCACAATATAAAAAGGGATTTTATTTGGTGAGTTTTGGAAGGCCAGTCCTCCTCCCACGTCTCCCTTGGGGTCTGGCCTCTTCACAGAAACCATGCATTTGACCCTGGCCCTCTGTGCTGCAGGTGTTTCAGGAGCAAACCCATGGCGCCAGCACTGTCCTTGGGTAGTTAATGCTGCCTAATTCTTGGATGCATAACCCCACCTGCCTTGCATATAATAAGTGCTCAATGAATGTAATATTTAATAAATGAAACTATTCCATCTCTAATTACCAGTTGAAATCTTTCAGTAACAAAGGGTGCCACATTCACCAATATCAGCCTTTCAGTAATAAAGGGGATATGTTGTTCTCCCATCTGATCTCTCAGTTGGTTCAAATATTGAATATGAAATTATAATAATAGCTAACACCTAAACACATCATGTACATTGACTTACTTAATTCTTACAACATTACTACGACATAGATATTAGTATTAACTCATTTTATAACCCATTTTATAGTAGGAAACTGAGGCATAGAAAGGTCACATACTGTTCATGGCAAAGGCAGGATATGGTCTCAGACAGTCTGGCCCCAGAGACCACACCCTTGGTCTCAATGCTACATTGCCTCTTAAGAAAAGGGTGTTACATATTGAATTCCCTTAAATCCCCCTACACTCTCATGTTTCCTATCTAGAATATAAAGCTGATAATGTTTTTATTTCCTTATGTTATACTTGTTTTTCTATGTCTTATTTAGATATCAAGACCAAAGTTGAAAAGGAAGATTTGATTCTGGAAAAAACAAATATGAAAGGAGAATTCTCTGCAAGAGAAGACCGGATGCATGAAAAGCAGGGAGTAGGAGAACAGGGCATTCAGAACAGCCTGCAAACAAGCAAGTGAGGAGAGACAAGCCAGACACCAGGCAGGCCCCAGCAAAAGAAAAGTGTCTTCCAGGGGAGAGAGGCTGGAACTGCCAGGAACTCAGAAAGGATGTCCGCCACAACTCCAGCCTGGCTGCCCCAGCAGGAATCTCTAAGCCGGTACTGTGTGTGGGAAGGCCTTCAGCCAGAGCTCCACTTTCATCACGCATCAGAGAATCCATACCTGGGAGAAGCCGTGTGGGTGTGGCTAGTGTGTCAAGGCCTTCATGTGGAGCTCCTATCTGAGCTGGCACCAGAGGGTATACATGGGGGAGAAGCCCTTTGTCTTTGGCATGTGAGGCAAGGCCTTCAGTCAGGGACTGTGTGCCTTGTGCACACAGGGGAGAAGTCACACATGTGCCTGGAGGGTGGCAAGACCTTCAGCCACAGCTCGTGCTTCCTGGGTCACTGGTAGAGCAACACAGACAGAAGCCCTGTTGCTGCACCCAGTATGGAAAGGCCTTTGGCTAGGGCTCCCACCTTCTCAGGGCGAAGAAATCAACTCAGGGTTTTGCAGCTTCTCAAAGGGGACCCAACCAGTCAAAAGCAGAGCATGTCCTGAAAGGTCCCTCATGGTTACCTAGCACCTGGTACCTGGGAGCACACCTGGAAGAAATACCAGCCGACTTCCCTGGTCAGAGCCCAGTGCTGATGGGTTAGGGCTTCAGGTCCAACACCAAATCCACGTAAGAGCAGGCTGAGTCCTTGTCATCAACCTGGCTCTCAGGCTAAGGCAGGCTCCTGTAAGGGCCTCCTAGTGTCTTTGGAGAGACTAAGATACATACACATGTAAACACACGCCATTGAGTAAAGGGCACTAGGTGACAAGCTTAGATAAAGTGCTAAAGTGTGTGCAGAGATAGCAAGATCAGTGGAGAGGGGAAATGGGTGAAGCTTTAGTAGGCCAGCTCTGGGAGAATGGGTTGGCAGTAGGTAGATAAGGGACAGCCCAGGGAGGGGACCAAGCAAACAAGGAGTAACTCCAGTTGGGCCCCAGTGAGAGAGAGACTGGCTGTGCAGTCACTCGGAGTGGCAGGCTTGACATGCACATGGGGAGATGAGAGGTTTCAGGACAAAAGCCCCAGTGTGTGGGTGGTACCAACCAAGGCCAAGTCCTGCCCACAGTACTGGGCTTCCTGTACCAGGGTAACCCTGGGTGAGCCTGAACATCATTCTCCACACCTGTGCAGGACAGGCGTTGGACAT